ATGAACAGGAATCATACCTACCTGGGTCATTTAGCAGTTACGAGAGTTCACTGGTCGCTTGATTTTCGAGATAAAGCTCGCGCGCAATCTCGGAACGCAACAGAAAAAGTGACGTCACGGCCAAAGTGGCGAAAAGTGGCACCCAAATTTTGCGGGATCGTATTCTCAGGACTCCTACGAACATGCCTATACAAATTTTTCTGGCGGATGGTGGCGGATGGGTAGTTAAAAGTTTACCTTAACTTTTTTTTCCTGCATTTTGATATAAGCACATTAGTGCAAACATAATCATTGAAAAAATGGGCCGAATACAAAAAATTATTAGCGGTATGTGTTCTCCAGACTCTGGAAAATAATAATCAATTAATGAAACTAGCATTAATTTAAACAGAAGCAAGCTAAGTGCCGCGGCAGCTAACCGGTCGCTTAATTTTCGAGATAAGGCTCGCGCGCAATCTCGGAACGCAACAGAAAAAGTGACGTCACGGCCAAAGTGGCGAAAAGTGGCACCCAAATTTTGCGGGATCGTATTCTCAGGACTCCTACGAACATGCCTATACAAATTTTTCTGGCGGATGGTGGCGGATGGGTAGTTAAAAGTTTACCTAAACTTTTTTTTTTCGCTTTTAGAGATGAGCACATTAGCGCAAACATAATCATTGAAAAAATAGGCCGAATACAAAAAATTACTAGTGCAATGTGTTCTCCAGACTCTGAAGAACAAGAATATGTCAATGAAATTAGCATTGATTTAAACAGAAGCAAGTTAAATGGAATAGAAAGACTCGGACGATTTGTCGCTAAAATAAAAAGTTACGCAAAGCCCCTCTTTGATGCCTTCTGTCACAAAAATGAACATGTTTCGTTCCAAATCAATGTCAGATCCTTAAAATATAACTCTTGAGGAACACTTTTGACCCTTAAAAAATGCGATTCGCCCGAATCGCCCATGACCGACCTGTACCATTGACTCGATCCACCGTGCGGCGATACACAATGAAAACATGAAGAAATGGAGTGATCCTAGCATGTCTATTACTCACCTCCTACGTCCATTGCAACCACCGCTACCACCGGCAGGATCCCTCTAGTTTCTTTCTGTCTTCTTTGTCTATAGCTTTGTCTATCAAATTTAAGAATCAGCCCGCTGAACATTTCAGGATAAAGTCTTAGGCTTCTTTTCTTCAGATACACCTCTATATATGCACCTATATTTTAGGTTAAGCACTGCTACATTTGTAGTCTTTTTTTATTTTTATAATTTTTGCCTATATTTTCCATTTATTGTTTCATCCGTTTATATTTTCTTTTGTTCGTCAAATAGGCGAGGCACAAATGTCTTGAATCGCAACTCGGTGAACGTTTGATGTTCAGTTTTGGATGAGCATGAGCAGCAAGGAAACTACGCTCGCAATGCAGCAGTAGTGTTTCGCACTCATCCGACTAGTTCGCCTTCGAAAACGCAGTTAGGCAATGTTTTCTGCTTGGGGGCAGTAATAGTTGCTCATAGCGCCTGACGATTTAGACGCATCCATTCAGTTTCAACGTTAGTCTTTACTTCAATTTCGATTAGTTAAATAAGTTCATTAATTCAATGCGATAATTTAGTTTATTATGTTCCCTGAAAGTGAAAGCAACATCCTCATTATTTTTTACTTAGATTTCTTCTTTGTGTTTTAAATTGTAATAGCAATGACTTGTAAGACTCCACCTGTCACAAGGCTTTGCCTTAGTAGGTGCCTATGTCCTCTACTTTTGGTTCGTTTTCGCAATTCTTTGTTTTTTATTAGTGCTAAAAGAAATAAAAAAAGAGTAAGTCAATTCAATCAATGTCTTCAAAATTCTCTCATTGAAAAACACATTTGTTAAAGCGGCAATCAAAAACAAGTTAGGTATCATTCAACAAGTAATTCATGTTGAAGTCTACAAAAAATAAAGTATTAGACTCTCTAATGATGTCAGACCTGATCCGAAGACCACGTATAACGAGCATCAATCATGGGTTGTGGCACAAGGATACTTATGTATGTTGCTCTCATTCGTGTTTGTCTTTGTATAAACATTGCGTTGTTCACACTTGGAAGCTTTCTTCATCAATGGTTGTTCAGAAATGTTTACCCTTTATTAAGACCTTACCAGCCCTCTTTGATTCAATTTTTTGACTGATTGTTAGGGGTTTGAGCTATGCAATTTTTTTTGTGGCTTTAGTTTTTGAGTTTTTGTTTTTGATAGATTTGATGATGGCCACAGTAGCCGGTTGCAATGTACTGAGTATTTTTAAATGTTATTAGCTTTGTTTCTAATTTGTATTTCTTCTTTTCTCCCATCTGTATACCTGCTACATGACTTTCTCTGTATATGGGTTTGATATGACCTCGCACAATTTGTTAGATTCAAAGGTGCTGGACACTTTGGAATGGTGAATAATAAGCAACCAGACATGTTTTCCTTGGGGTAAGGGGGGGGGTGGGCAGATCCTAAATATTTTTAAAAACCTGAAGTACACTTTTATACCAGCTTCTCACCGATCCAAAACAGGAATACTCAAACTTACTTTTAGACTAATGTTCATTTGAAATAAAGAGATAGCGGTTCAGAAGAGATATATGAAAGACTAACATGTTTTTAGGAAAAAGTAACAACTGGTTTAATCAATATCAACTTCAGTAGACAACAAAAAAAAGTTACAACTTTAAATATTCAAAAGAAGTCAACTCTTCTTCACTGATTGTGTGAGTCATCATTAAAATAAAATTAAGTTTGATCCACGATAACAAATTATTTAAAACAAATTTTAATAAATACATAGTCAGCCCGAATCATGTAACTGAGAAGCAAAACATAGCACAAACCTCAAAATTGAATAAAACAATGCCAATTGAAGTGAATAATATGAAATGAAGTAGCTGCTTCTGACAAAAGCCTGATAGATACGCACACATCATTTTTTTCTACCATTCAAAATAACAGTGTTACTCACAGAATGTAAAAAATTCAGCAATTGCAAACACAATGCATAAGGGAGTAATTTTTTCATACTAAATGTCTCTGATTAATAGCGGTAACTCCTTCAAAAAACACACCAAAAAAAAAAAAAAAAAAAAAAAAAAAAAATCAACTTAAAACCTTCAACTCACCGATTCATTTCAATTTCTTGACACAACAAAATGTTATGACCCATGATTGGGCAAAATTACTGACCAACAGAAGCAGTCGATAGATAAAAACAAATGATTTACAACAAAAAGAAAACAATAATGCAATTTACATAAACTTTAAACGTACATAAAAGTTACAATAGGGGAGGCTGCAATATTGCAGAGAACTTAAATAAAACTTTAGCAACATCAAAAACTACCCATTTATTAATTGGGTCGAAAAATCAGATATTGAGATTTTAACTGAAAACTCTTTCTAGAGCCTGAAAGAGTAAGTTGCGAGAGGTCTAGTTAATTTTTGCACCCCTGGCAGGCATACGTTGCATCATGATCCGGTGATTTAGTAACCTGAACGGGGCAGATTAGAGTTTAATACAGCTTTTCCGTGAATTTATTTATTTCTACTGCTACCTTCAAACCGCCTTAACTCTCGATGAGTTTGATAAGGGTCTTAAGCAGTAAAATATTTGTATAAAACTCCTCTGTGCTCTTGTGTTGATAACTTATTCTTCTTTTTTTAAAGTGACAATGACTTGATTCAGAGTTGCTGTAAACTAATGTCTCTTTCCTGTGTACTGTTACAAATCGACAAAATGACTAATATATACTAACATAGAACAAAACCTACATACAAATTATGCTGAGAAGACATTGCTGAGAACATTATTACTGAGAATATGTTGTATTGGATATTTCATAAGGTTTTGAGTCTATAAAGATTACAGAGAACATTCACATGAGAGGTGAAATAATAAATGCATCACTTGGTTAAGATTACTATCATTACACAACACTGGCTAAAACATGTTCTCTGTAAAAACAAGATAGTAATTGAGTCGACGTAGGCGAAAACGTCCGTTGTCTAATACAGGGTTTCATAATTGCGGTGAGTTTCTTTTGTCACACGACACTGACGAAGAGGATCGATCTCTTTTGTGACCGTTTAATTACACTTATGGGATTATTTATAATATTGTTCTTTATTCCTAGTGTCTTGAACCATCTTGTATCATTAAGTTACAACGAAATTGTCCACTCAAATTCTAAAACACTGTCTTAGACATCGGACGTTTTCGCATACGTTGATTCAATTGTAACGCATTTGGAAAATAAAACAAATTACGCAATTGTCATTTTACATGCCGGAACTCTGCACAAAAGGGCTGTGATAGCAATGGTTCTATTTCAAACGCAGAATGACAAAGAAACGATATTTTTACCACTCACTTCTTCATGAACCTTTTAAAATACACTTGGAGGGGCATTGTTTCTCGGGCAACCATATTCTGAGGACAGAACTTCTGATAAACAAGAAGTTAAGCACGGTACATACAATAAATTATAACACAAACATAACATACATTTGATTACTATACAATGCAGTTATCACAGAAGTTATCAGTCAAATATGTGCTTTTTCTGACAGTAGTTTTTACACTATTGGCAACCCTAAAGAATAAAAAAAAAAAATGAGTGCTAGTATGTCAAGATTTATGAAATAAGATAAATTTTGACTTTCTTCGTTTCAGACTGAAATAATAACTTTCAAACAAACCTTCAGAGAGCAGCAATTTTTCGTATTTCATGTGAACCAAATTATGCTATGTAGAACCACAATTTAACTGTGCTACGGAAAACCGCCATACAAACCTACAGGCATTGCCAAATTTTCTTTTATGAAATACAAATTTATTCGGAGGAATGTAAACATTTTTCTTCCAATTTTTCAGTCAATCTTGTTCGCAATTTAAAATTTAAAAAAAAATATGCATGACTCTCTTCTCAAATAAATTTTTATCAAGGGAAATTTGGTATCATTCGAAAGTTCATACAGCGTTTTTCCTCAGCACGGTAGAATTCCTACCTCATTTTAGAAACAACATTGATGCCATTGGTTCCCTATAAACTTTTGTGCTGTTACAAAAAAGTAAAAAATGGTGGCTTCCTGTTGTAAAATGATGATCTTGTAAGTGGGTAAGAGTAGTTTTTAAATGGCTATTGAACTTTGTTCTTGCATTTTTTTCGGAAAAAGGATTTTTTGTGTGTTCTGATTCAGGAATAAACAAAGATCTTTTGAAACGTTTCCACTGTGAGATATACTTGAAGAAGTTCATTCTGTGCACGTTGCAAGAGAGAAATAATCTCCTATGGTTGCTTATACTTAATACCCTTTTGAGTGACGAGGTAAAATATTGAGGTGAATTAACTAAGGCATAGCATGTATTAGCCGGATAAAACAAGTAAAGAAAAAATTCATCTACAGCTAGAAAAACAAAATGGTCCATATCTCGGGAAAAATAGGAGGAAAGAAAAAAAGAATAGTTCGAAAGGTGGTTGTTACATGTATTCAATGATCATCATGAGTGAATCACCTGAGGGCCAGTCTGAGAAAGGTTGAACTAAAGCAAAACTCGAAGGGGGGAAAAATTAGTTACATCTTCATAAAAAATTGTTCTTTCATAAAATTAGAGATTTCTTCACAAGTATCATTTCCATACACATTTCTTAAAAGGATGAACTACTTCAGATTTTAATGAACTTATTTACGTGATCAGTAGCTTTTTATTAATCTTCCTCTTCCTTTTCTTCTCTTCCTCAAGTATGCTTCCCACTTTCACAATTCTGAACTCTGGTGGATAATTATGGACCTTGGCCAAATGTTCTCTGAAAGTGCTTTCCACTGTGAACTGAGAATCACACGCACAACAGAAAAGTCCACTGTCACTTATTTCATGCCTCCTCAGGTGTCGTTGCAACTTGTGATTGGAAACAACAGCTAAACGACAAAAGAAGCACTTAAAAGGTTTCCCACTGTGGAGCATGGTATGAGTTAGAAGACTCGATTTCTGCGAGAACGTCTTATTACAAAAAGAGCAAGCGAACGGCCTTTCACCGCTGTGTAGCCTTTCATGCTGTTTCAAGATGGCTTTGGTAGTGAATTTTTTATGACAGGTATCACATTCGAAAGGTCTTTCATCGAAGTGTGAGCGATGATGGCGAATTAGATGACTTTTTCGCGAAAACTCTTTGAGGCAATGACTACACATGTAATATTTTTCTGATGGGGCGACACAGCTTCTATTCGCAGAACAACATGAATTTTGATGACTTAAATGGCACGTATCACTGATGGCACGTACTACAATTGGTCCTTCAGGATTCGAGTTCATGCACTGTTTTCTCATTTCACAAGTTTTAGTATCTGAGACAGATGCAATGGAGCTATTCCGTTCTATTCCTTTACTCTTGAGACAAGTGCAACGAGAGTTATCTGTTTCCTCGTCAGAGACTGGGTCAATTTCTTCAGTTGTGATCATCGAGGAAGGAACTAAATCAGTGCAACTTGATTCAATAAGACTTTTTCCTTTGGGGGCAATTTTGGAGCGGGGCTCATTTGATTTGCAATGAGAATCTCCATTTCTGAAAGGAATGCTGGATGTTTGGTTGCTGATTTCGGAACGATCACTCAACTGCTCGTCTAGTTTGTTCTTATCCATTCTGGTAGACTCCATTTCGATACAGGAGTTTCCATCATTTCTGAAAGCAGGATTTTTCATTTTCATCTTCTGCTCTAGAGTCACTGGTTTCAAAGGCGGTTTATTTTTTCTCGGGGTTTTGCTTTTCCGTTTCATGGAACCAGCCTTGTGAGTTGTGATATTTTCTTGAGCCGAACTGTCGGTTTTCCCGTTGTCCGGAATTTTGATAGGTTTCAAAACTTTAAGAGGATAAGTACCAGTGTCAATTTCCACAATCCCCCACACGACACCATTTGAATCAACAAACTGAGGAGAACGTGATGTCGTTGAAGGTTTTCCGATACTGAGTTCGCGATTAGTTTTCAAAACTGCACCTTCAGCAACATCAAATTTTTCAGCACTTTTTTCACTCGTTTTGAGCAGACTGATTCCAGTCGTGGAGCTTTGAGAATCAGAACATGGTTTATTTTCATCAGGCGCTTTTATTTCATCATGGTTGTTGGAAGGGATCTCTGCTGCTTCATGAGCCTCATCGCCTGGTGATATCTCATTAATTTTGTTGGTTGAAGATGGCGGCTCAGTTTTTAAGTTTCGCAGCAGCTCATGTTTACTATTTAAACGCACGTACTTATTGACAACTCGGAGTGCGTTATCCTTTTGTGGGGTTTTGGAGACACTGTCCGATAAAGACCCATTACTTATTGCTTTGGTAAGATTGATTGGATCTCCGCCCTGAGGACTTTTAACTAAAGTTTGATTCTTATGAATTTTTTCAATTGGACTGGGCATTTCACTGGCATATTCAACTGACTGAATGTCATCACAACAACTTGCCATTTTTGAACTTCCTTCTCTCTGCGTGGAGAGATTCTTTCCAATCCTTATCACTTCTACTTCAGTGGAGACCTGAGACAGTAGTCTGTTGTCCTCAATATCATCAGCTTTACCTGGCAGCTGTGGATCTGAACCACTCCTGGACTTTGATCCCTTTCCTGAGCTGTCTGAAAGACAATGCTCAAAATCATCCCCCGATCTGCTGTTACAATAAATATGATCCGACTGCAGAGAGTTAATGCAAGCACCCTCCGATGTCTGAAGGTCACGGTGTGAAGCATGAGGCTGGCTGCAAAGATTCAAGGTGCCACACTGTTCACGAACAGAGTTGTGATTACTCGCTTCAACTAAGCTGCTAGAAGTTCCACTGGATGACTCCAACACACTAGTAGCAAAAGAATTAGGAGTTGAATCACATCTTGGAGACACCTTGAAAGTCATTTTGGTTTTGACTGGAATTAACTTTGGTTTCTTTTTTATTCTTTCAAAAACCCTTGAGTATAACTTACTTACGGAGGTTGAGAGTCTTGATCCACCTTCATCTGAAAACTTTCTCTTCGAGCTCGGCACAGTGGTTCCTGCAGGGCTCCTAGCTTTTGCCTCAGCCCATGAGGAGGTTTTCAAGAGATTGGACAGGTTTAGTTCTGTAGCAACTTCTGGCGATGCATCCTAGGGAATAATTGGACACGATTAAATTTAAAAAAAAAAATGAGAAACAGTCAGTTGTAAAAGTCAATTTTAAAATATTAAAAAAAAGTAAGACCAGACCAATCAAAACATCTGATGATAAACTGGGTATGTCGTATGCCCATGATGAGATGGTTAATCCTGAAACAATTCACCTGGCTCATTGACACGTCATTCCACTTATAAACCCACACTCGATTCCACTGTTGGATTGACAGTTAATTTCACTGGCCCATTGGCTGACAGTACATAAAGCTGGATAATTGACAGACGATTTGACTAGTTAATTGATAGAAAATTCGACTCGTCGATCGACAGGCAACTTGACCGGTGGATCGACAGGCAACTTAACCAGTTGATCGACAGACAATTTGATAGAAAATTGGACTGGTTAATCGACAAGTAATTTGACTGGTCACTTGACCAGCGTAAATTTCTGCTGATGGACAAGTCGAAGCTACTATCGATCAAACAATCATAAAGTATTTGATGAAATATTTTTAGATTCAGAATTCTGCTTAATTTCTTCATTAAATTATTACTGGGAATTCTTCGAGTAAGTGAAAATTCTGTGTAAGCCTAGAAATATTGATGCGTAAACCAATTTTTCTTGGAGAAGGAGCATTCGCCTCCAACCTTTCATTTCAACTCCATTGTTCCTAGGGAAACCGGTGTACTTGTAAGGAAATGAGGGTTAATTTTTTACCTTTCAAACAGAAAATATGTCTTGTAGTGTACTGATTTTTTTCTGATGGTCAATTCTCTTCAATTAAGAAGGGAGAGCAGAGATTTTGAAAAGCTGCAAAAGAGATACAATACTGCCCTTGAAATGAAAAAAGTAACATTTTCTAATGGTTTCAAAGGAATTCTAAAGTTTATCCTTTCAGAACCAATATTGAGAGAAAGAGGCTTGAATTGAAGAAAGGGGGTAAAAGAAAAGATCCGGTGGGGGGGGGGGGGGGGGAGAGAAAAAAACTTGGGGCAAAGAATTAAGAAGAGGAAAAAATACTTGCCTTTGCGGAAATAGGCCCAGAGCTTATAAGTTTTTCTATGAGTGGTGACAAGTTGGGCTCGAAAATACAATCATCTTTCGTTACAGGTTCTTCTGCAGAAAACTTGTCAGGTACGATAAAATTGGTTGATAGCTTAGAATCATATGTATCTTTCTTTGTAGAATCGACATCTTTTTGTCCAGGATTATCGGCAGGCTGATGGGTGGAACTGTTAGGCTCATCGGACACTTTGAGTCGTCCCAATCCCAAATTGCTACAGAACGAAATTTGTTCCTCATTGGCAGATTTTGGCTCACACGAATTTGTGGCGGAAATTTCTGAGCCATTTTCTTTTGGAATACTGCTGAGTTCTTTCAGACTTGTAGAACTTTGAGCTGAATTTTTCTTACTGCCTGATAACAAAAAAATAATACAAAAAACTTATGATTGGAACATAAAAAAGCAAGAAAACAAGCTATTCATAAGAGAAACAACAGAATCGCTGTTGTGAATCAAAACTTATATCAAAAAGTCAAAAATTGATGTTAAAGAGGTCCAAATTTTCAGGTATAGAGAGGCGGGGTCATAATTGAAATATAGTCCTCGATCATTTTGTTATTGACTATTGCATATGGAAACTCAAGTTCTGCCCATCAATGAGGATGAATAGGAGTTTTTTAAGCTGGGAACTAAAATTATACAGCTCAAGTTAAGAGAGACACATTAAGTTAAGAATATGGTGGAATCTGGATTTGCAGTGAGGAGGGGGCTTGTGGAGTTTTTTATATAATGCCCCCTCTTCCTGCACATAATCTTGTTCTCGCTTGTGACACCAAAATAATGGATGAATTACATGTGAGAGATTAAAAAAAAGTGATTCCCAGTCAAACATATAGACTTCCAGTTTATAATGCTAAATATGATTCTCCTTAGAACATTGAGTTGAAATAACATTTGCAGAACTATTTATGATGTGACGAGCATTTGATCTGAATTGTTATTGAAGCTGACACAGAACTTATCTGTGTTTTCCTCAAAGTCAGGATTGATTTTAAAATGCCCTAAAAGGGTCTATTAACAGTGTTGGTGGGAGTTCTTTCCACATAATGCTGTCAAACGATGCGAAGTGAACACCTCTAATTTGAGGTATATTTATCTTATTATTTTCTTTTCCGCCTTAGGTTAAAAGAAAAAAAAACTTAATTACCTTCAAGCTCAATGCGATTTTCAGTCAGCAAATTCAACTGACTTGAGGAATGGTGAACCTTGCATGAACTAGATGAAGTCAGGTTTAAGTTTGAGCTGATACTTTCTGAGTCATTCTTTCCATCTGAAGATGACAATTCAGTGTGCTGTGTTTGACTATCGATAATGATTTTATCATCAACTTCAGGAGTGTTGTTACAGACAAAAGTACCTCCGTCACTTTCTAAGGAGACACTAGAAGTGGTTGAGATGCTTGCTTTTGGGGCCAATAATTTTGATAGTTCCAAGATACATAGCGACAGATCAGCCTTGGTATGATGTCTGGAGAGATGGTTGTAATAACTGGCAACATAAGTGAGATCCTTTTGGCAGATATGACAGGTAAGCTTTCGATTCCTTGATATTACTTCATAATTGTTCAACCGTGGGGTTGTGAACGGTCTTATCATCTTGGTATCTACTTCCATGTTGATAATGTCTTGCTTGAGGGCTGAATTTTCAGGAGTAAATCATATCTGAAATGAAATGAAAAAAAAAACAAAAATATATCAAAAATAAAAAGCAGTAGAAAAGAGAAAAATTACCACATAGTTTCAAAAACTTGAAGACAATTATTAGACTGGTGAATGAAAATGGAGGCCATGAACACTTGAATCAGTGAGTTCGAAAACACACCAACTCGGAAAAAAAGTTGTTCAAGAAACACCTAAAACTGCGCAGCGGGCAAAGAAGTTACTTTAAGAAAAACCTTTTTGGTGCCAAAGGACAAGTACTTAGAGACTTTGTAAAGCACCAAGTTGAAATCGATACACCATGTTTGATGACAGAGAATTAAGTAAGCGTTCAAAAATTTCTGAGTTGGTGTGTTTTCGTACTCACCGGCTTTCAGATACTGATTTTTCATGGTCTGCCCTGAAAAATTTATATTTTTCGACCTGAATAACGCTTGCAACGTCGCAAACTTCTTGTCATGCTTGATGTTTTAAACGGAAAACTACTCAACGGCAATTCTTTAAAACTGCCGTGATTTTTTTTCTCTGCGCAAAGAAATTTCTGCCTAAACTTCAAGGAATGATGTTAATTTAGTCTTCTAGAAAACAAATAACATAGAGGCGGAGATTTTCAGACACCGCAGATGAGTTACGTGATTGGCGACTTACACTGTTGACATGCTCTGGCACTGTGATAAGACTATAAAGGATCAGAGCAATAGAGACAGACTCTGTTACCATTAACACTTCATACCAGCCTATGGCTTTGGTTGACACATGTCTTCGTTTGCTTAACAAAAGTGTGTTAGCCATTTTATTTCCCTTTCTCAAAACTAAATGCAAACAGAAACATATTGGATCTTCTATCTTACTCTGGAAGCCATATTCTTATGAATAACAATTGTCTTCGCTCAAGTGAAGAAGTTCCGTTTGCATTCTTGTAGATTAAGTACACTAATCCTTAGTAAGAATATTTCATGAGACTAATTACGATGGTACAACTGCAGAGTGATACAATCCAAAGCATGTTGGATAAAATACTTAGCAAGGGTCTCATGATTGAAGCTTTGAGAACATGTGGGGATCAGCACAGCCACAAAATGGAACAAAATGATTGTGTACTGACCTGTAGGGATTTCATGAGGTGTGTATAACAAACGTAACGTCTTTAACTACAGCTTGGTGAGCTTGGTCTGCATTAGAATAGTCAAATGGGACCAACGAGGCGTGAGTCCATCGGAGAACTGATTCATGGGTGACCGCTGGCACATTGATCATGCATATAGATGACGCTACGATACTTGGGAATTTGAATGAAATTCAATTACATATCGAAAAAATTTCTCCAAGTTGAAATGAAAACTGAGAGCACTAAAGCTGTAAACAGGAGTCAACTACAGATTACCATAACAAACACAACTTGTTAGGTTAGGATCTTTCAACCGAGGGCTCAAGGAGAGCTGCAGAATGCTTTGATAGGAATTCTTGCTGAATGCTTACACTTTTTCGTACTAAAATTACTTAAAAATGTCATTGTTTTTAGGTAGAAATAAAAGATCTGATGATACTAACTTCAGTTCATAGTTGACAGTGTCACTGCACTCACTATCTATCATGATAAACATGAATGTAGTGTTGCCAAATTTTATAGAAAAATTATTTTCTTTAAAATTATTCTTTCTTAAAATTAATTCTTGTTTAAAATTATTTAATTTCAAGAGCAAAAACTGTGCCGCGAAGAAACATGCTGAATTAAAAGAGAGGTTACATTTTTCAACTAAAATATACGCATGACGGCATNGCCCCTTATTTAAATTTTTGGTATTCCTTATGGTCTTTATTACTTAAAATTCCTAATCATATAGATAATAGAAGAGAAATCATGCAGATTTTCCTTTATAAAAAAGAGCGTTTAATTTGGTTTGAATTTAAAAGATTCCTGCTTGGCCCGAAAGGCGAGGGTTGACAAAAATCCTGCGGCGCGTGGGGAGTGCAGTGAGTCTGCAGAAAGGAAACATCGATGCTCCCGATTGCGCACCAGACAGTTTGCGATGGAAATTCGGCAGGATTTTTGTCATCCCTGCCTTCCGAGCTCAAGGAAGGAATCTCTGCTGAACAGTCGACTCATAACAAACACAACTTGTTAGGTTAGGATCTTTCAACCGAGGGCTTGATAGGAATTCTTGCTGAATGCTTGCACTTTTTCGTACTAAAATTACTTAAAAATGTCATTGTTTTTAGGTAGAAATAAAAGATCTGATGATACTAACTTCAGTTCATAGTTGACAGTGTCACTGCACTCACTACTTATCTATCAGTAGATAAACATGAATGTAGTGTTGCCAAATTTTATAGAAAAATTATTTTCTTTAAAAATTATTCTTTCTTAAAATTAATTCTTGTTTAAAATTATTTAATTTCAAGAGCAAAAACTGTGCCGCGAAGAAACATGCTGAATTAAAAGAGAGGTTACATTTTTCAACTAAAATATACGCATGACGGCATAAAACAAATTTTAAACCTTCAATTTTCTTCTGATGTGACAACAATGTTGTGGTCCAAACAGTCAAATGGCGCTGCGCTGAACGGAGGTCAAAATGGTCAAATCACACTTCCTGCGTTCAGGGCCGGATTCAGGGGGTGACAAATGTTGTAATTTTTTTCAAATGTAGGTATCAAGAAAAAAATCTGATTCAGAAAATAACTACTAATGAGAAGAGGCGAAAAATCTCTCATTTCCGGAGAGTTTAAGTATAGTAATTTCTAATTTGTTCGTCTTTTGGTGATACAAGAGACGGCGCCTTTCATTAGTCTCGTTGAGATAGAAACCTGACACGCAATTTGGCCTGGAGCGGCGCCAGCGCGGCGCAGAGGAGCAATGATGACGAGGACTTGACATGGAAAGGAGAAGCCCTCGGCGCGCCGCGCCGGTCAGCATGAAACACATATTAGCGCCTACAAGACTCCATGAATACTTCACGCATTGCGTCAAACGTAGTGCGGTCAGCAGCGGTATGGCGTGAAACGCAAGGCGCCTACAAGGCTGTAGGGATACTTCTCACATTGCGCCGAACACAGTGCGGTTGGCGCGGTGGCGGAAATTAAAATCATTAAACCACATTCATGTTTATTCTTAATGTTTTCGTTCTTTTCCTATAGGTATATGAAAGGCCTCGGCCACACAGGGATAGGTTTACGGAACCTACCTTTTTTTACTTAACGGATTTATACATGATTGGAATAGGGGCCTGTGGCCGCTTAGCGGCCGCCAACCACTGAAAACAACTACACATAAAAAATCGTAGAACAATCCATGTTCAAATTATTTCCATGGATAAATGGACTCAAAAGCCGATGGGTGCAAGGGGAAGAAAGCGTACTTATTTATCTTTGATTGCGACATTATGCACCACTTCTAACGTCTAACTTTTGAACACCGTTTTTAAAAAGCTACACATTCAGTTTTTCTGAAGAGTTTCCAAGTTTTTTTTTTTTTTTTAAAAAAAGAAAGGCCCACATACAGTTTGTTTTAGAGGCATCGAAATTTCCCGTATGATTTAAAGTAGAATCACAACAAATTTCGACGCGATATTTTCGCTTGGTCTGTTTTCTTTTTATTAAACCAAAATTAATTTTATGCGATTTAAATTTCAGAATAGCCGCATCGGTTGAACATCGTCCGAGTTTCTGAATCAGGGAAATTAAGATACATAATATTATCTGGAAGAAAAGACGGGTATAGCTACGCGCTGCATATACATCACGCCATTAAAAAACCTCAACTTCAAATGATATCCTGTAGAGACTATTGAAATATGCTGGTCAAAAAAGGCCCTATACTATTTTAAATATTAGGTTACATGAAAACATAATCAAAATCCTGTTTCAGTTGAAAGAGCTGCACAACTTTTTGTAGGATATATGCTGCAGAGAGTCATTTACCTTACAGGATAGACTATGGCACCATGCATTGCGCTTTCATTTTTGCAGATGCAACACGGACATCCATTGAACACGAATATTGTATCTCTGCACCGTTGTCAACCAGCGTTGAGGTTGAGGAGTCTTTTAATTTTAAAATTTGCTATATTTTGAATATGCTATGATGTGTCCGAATCTATAGTCATTTTGAAGAGGAGGAAGAAAATAAAACATCTTTAGTGATCTCTTAGGTGCCCTTAAAGGCGGACTTCTGAAAATCGGTATTTTGACTAGAGTTGTGTTGTGTCAGGGAATTTTTTTTTTTTTTATGGCTACCCCTAAAAATTCCAAACCAAATCAAATTGACCCGACTAACTCATATGGAGGTGTTACATAGGGCGGATGAGGAGGGGGGGGGTGAGAGAGCAGAAGTATGTTACCAAAAAGGTGAAAATTTCGAAAAGGTATTTCGTATCTTCAATAAAGTAGATACTACTTCAAAAACTAACAAAATCACTTATTTAAATGCGGATCGATTTGATCCAAGACTTCGAAAAGTTTTAGGTATCTAAGGGTATAAAAAAATAAAAAAGGAACAGAGATTTTTTAATGTCGCCAAGGGATATCGACGGTGAAACTATCAAACCACGTATCTCGGTTTGCGACGTCGCAGACTTCCTGTCATACTTTATTTTTTAAATGAAAAACTACTTAACGTCCAGTCTTAAAAATTTCTGTGATTTTTCCTCTTCGTGCGGAGAAAATTCTGTGAAAATTTCAAGGAATGATATTGATTTTGTCTACTTCAAAAAAATAAAATGCGAGCGTAGATTTTTAAACACCGCAAACGAGATACGTGGTTTGGTAGTTTCACCGTCGATATACGGTTTAGGAGTTCCACCGTGGAATGTGGATACACCTCCCACAAAAACATGGCCTTGGAAAGGTGAACATAGGACATGAAAATACAGGCTGCATGTAAAGTCAAATATTTTTATTTTTAATTCAACAAGGAAGTCCTGACAGCAACAAATAAAAAGTAACACATACTTACACAACGATAAAGCTTGCCATCCTTTCCAGAATTTTACATCTTTGCTAATAAATTCTTGGATAAGCAGAAGAGGAAAGAGGATTTGTAATGAAATTTGATAATTAATCTATTATCAATTTCACAGGGAAGTAATCATTACTGAAGGAATTTTTGATGAGTTCAGTAACTAAGATTTTCGCTGAAAAATAGAAATTGCGGATTTCCGATTGAAATTTCACTGACTAGCAATTTCAATTTTTTTTTCCTTCCAAATTTTTATCCTGCTCACTAGGCTTGTTTTAATTTTACAAAATACTTCATTCTGAAAAATGAATGGAGTCAGAGCAATGTTGGAACAAATATAATTTTCAAATTAATACCTACATAAAAAAATGCAGCTAATAAACTTGTTCAAAAAAAGGGGACAGGAGAGTAAAAAATTTCATAGAGAATATTTAAGGAGAGATTCTTTATACCAAATTAAAATCCATTAACATTCTTGTGCAAAAGCAAAGACATGCAGAAATGCAACATTTTTGGAGAGAAAGAACCCCAGTTTGAGTGACAAAAAGAGACTAAAACTTAGCAAGAGGTAATAGTAAATACTCAAGATTGGTAAATTGACAAATGCGTGCTTTCCCATTTAAAAAGTGTGAAAACCACTTATCTATCCAGGTACAAGTAACATTAAATTGGTAAGACTAAATTAAGGATAACAGAAACATGATGAATGGATGAGGTATCAGCTGGAAGATTATGAGTACTCCCATGTTTCTAGATATGTGATACAAATGCCGAACCTACTTGTTCAATTTGACTCATCTACACAATCTATCGAACATAAAATTCATCAATGGAACTGAAATGCTGAAATGTGTACGATGCACCGAGAAATATATTTTTGTTCTATACCTAAGTATCATCAAGTTACAATTTTCATTTTTGTGGTGAAATTTGTTCAAAAAAATATCAGAGTGCACAAACATTTTGACTCCCTAGAATTGGGTTCATAGGATTTTAGCAGAGGTAATCAAGGGAAAGGTAATTATGTATTCCCTAATGTGCCCTCAATATCCCCTTAATATACTCCCTCTTGACCGATGCTTTTTCTCCAAATTTGACTCGAGTTACTATTAACACTAGGTACTTACAAACTAAACATTCAAAATTTCTATCCTGTTGTGATTCGTGATCCTCACTCTTGCATTTTAAACTGCTCTAGTGAAAGCACAGGAGGACCTCAATAATATTAAAGTTTACTGATCAGCGGGCTGAGAATTGAAATCAGTAGACAAAGGTATAGACAAAAAAGACAAAGGAAAAATGGAGCAATCCTATTGGTTTAAAAGGGTGGTTACTATAGACTAGGAGGGAAAACGATAGACGCTGATGAATTATAAGGTCTCTTATGGGTTGCCGTTAATCAGTCTTTTATTTGGCTCCTTTGTCCATTGCAACCACCCGGTTCTATTAATAAGATCCCTACTTGTTTTATTTGTCTTTTATGTCCTTCCCTTTGTCCATCAATATCAATGATTAGCCCAGAGTAAATTGAGAAAATAACTATTAGTCTTAAATTGATTGTGTATTTGTATCTCAGTCGGACCCCAAGAGGTCTAATCGCAAAGAAAATTCTCACATAAAGAGATAATTACATAATTATTTTAAATATGAAGTAAGTAAAAACAGTCTATGTTAGGCAGAATTACACAAATAAACAGCGAATATACCAAACAAATACCTACTTTGTAAAATTTCACTAATTATTGACTAAAATACTTAATGAGATTCACTAACAAAAGAATTAACACATGAGTTTATTCACACATAAAAGAAAAAATTCAAACAAGAATACCAAATACTTAATTTTTTCATTCAGAAATATTTGAGAAAGTCTTTGTTTGAGTGGATTGCTTTCCACGTCCACACTGCTGTTTCGGAGGACATTTGTTCATTAACACCATATGATAATTTAACATTGCGCGTAGCTCAATCCTCGCTGAAAAGCCTTCTCAATAAGGTTAAATTTAGCTAAGGTTCCCACTTTGAAATCAAAATTGAAGCCGTTGATTAGGGCATCAGTCTATCAGGAGGTTTGCTTTCAATTAACTGTTTGATCGGATGAAAATTATTTTTATGACCCACGGATTGGTTAACAACTATGCTACAAACTGTTACAAGTGAACAAATTCCGATTAGAAAGGCGAGTTCATTCCCAGCTTTGTGTTGAATTCCAATTTGATTTTCCGTCTGATTCTTGTGTTCTCGCTTCAAAAAGAGAAAATGAAAATTAGCATCACAAAAAGTATTGAATATTAAAGCAAGAGCTTTTAAATAATAATATAGGCAGATTAAATTACACAGGAAGCAGGTTTTAACTTTGGGGTGGGAAAGTTTAACAGTGCAGGTGATGGCCTCCTTTAGCCCCTGCACAACCACCCATAGCGCAACTTTTTTTGCCCCTAAACCCTCCAAGTCTAATTTAAACATATGTAACTGGAATCAATCTAACAGTATTTCACATAACCTAATTTTCTCTCAGCTTCATTCTCTTAACAGAAAAGTAAACTAATTAGCAACTCAAACTTTTTGAGAATTTACTGTATATTATGAAGAATATACTCAGAAAATTTCAAATTTCAAAGTAGCAAAGTTTTCTGTTAGGAACATGAAAAAATCAGAGAAAACTAGGCAATAACTGATGTAGATTGGCTAATCCGTTCATACATAATGGGAAAAATATATGAATTTCCTTTGTGTTGGCATTTTTTACATCCATAACTGATGCCAACAACAGGGTTTGTTTTTTCTCCTTAAATAGAATAAAATTGTTGTTATAACTGCAAGGCATTTGAACGAGTTCTAAATATTATTTCTGACTGAAACTTTTCTTGATAAAACGTTTAATGAAAAAAAACCAATTTGAGAGAAATAGGAGAGTCTGCAATGATCTGATTTGATATGGAATCTACCTATGATATTATTTTTAAGATAAAAAATAAGAGAGAAATTTAAGAAATCAATACTTACTTAATTTCAATATATTTACTGATCAGTTCATTGAACAACAAGCTGACGAGAGGTGACAGATAAGCAAGATAAAGGATGTTCATCGGTAAATCCAAAAAGGTTATGTACTGAGCATCTACTATAAGATCTAGGAGAACAGTGAAAGTAACTTGCACCAAAATTCTGAAAAAAGCCAATCACAATCTTTTAGCTATCTCATTCATCATGCTTTAAGTCCCAAAACAAAAGGTACCAAGATTATAGTAAGTCAAGCATGCACGCACAAGAACACACAAGAATTGCAAACAGGTTCGATACTTGCAGCCAGGGTTGAGTTCATGTTTGCCAATAATGACAGAGATTAAATTACTGGTACTCAATTGTCATCATGAAATTTTTTTCATTTTTACAACAATTTCAATTATTTGATCATCGGCTTTTTTCCTTAAGGATTTGGTTGAGAACCACGGGCATCCATAGTCAAAAGAGGAAGGCCTTGTCACAATAATAAGGTTTTTCAGATGTTAAAGGTGTTCGGAAATACAGTTGTATCTTGTCATAAAGCTTCTCAAAATAACGTTTCTCAGGAGTAGTATTCATTTTCTCAAGTTCCAGCCTTTTTTATCTCATTATGGCCTTTTCAGAAAAAACATTATCCCGAGCCAATAATCTGCTTTTAGTTCCTGTTCAAATACATTATAACAAGATACGCCAACTAGGGGTTTTAATTGTTGAGGAATTTAAAACAGCAGATATTTGGGATGGAGGTAAAAATGCTTCATGCTCTTGACCTTTTGAGGCGACAAAGAGACTCAGAATGGTAGGAATGTAGATGATTATAATGGTAGGGGCAGGGTTTTGAAGTACTATGTAAGGATGGAGTGGGAAGTTGGATTAATTTTTTAATTTGATTAATTATTTTATACTTCATTATTTGAAGTGAGATGGGGCGTTACAAATTGACATCATGTTGCCTTAAAAATATTGCAATTTACATCAAAATTTGATTACAGAGACCTTACAAAGCACTGGGATGAACTAAATAGTAAATATAAACAAACGCTACTTACATAAAAAATGCAACTAAAAACCAGGTGATATTTATTTGCGGTAACTTTTGCCATATCAAATACTCTCGGTCAATAAAACTCACAGATGTGATAACTGGAAAAAATAAAATAAATACAAAGACTGAGCGTTAAATTCAATGATCAATGACTCAATTACTTACATTGATGAGAAAGAATCCTGTGATAATTTTTTAGCATACTATTTTCCAAGAGGAAATAAATAATAATAATAAAAAAAAAAACGATATAATCTATTATTGGTAAGTTTAGAACTACTGAAACAGCTGTCTGCTTCGATAGACAACTTTACCAAGCTTGCAATTTTTCATTTGTGTGACAACTGATATAATATTTTGTATTTTAACACTAACAGCATTCTAGTCATTAATCTTGTGACTTTATGTTTGTTTACGTTGTTACCAACGGTGATTCTTTCAAGCCGGCAAAACTGGATTTTTCTGTTGAAGTCTGTATCGAACAATCGATATTTATCAAGGTAGACTGCCTCACTGCAAATCGATCATTTATAACAGTTTGAATAAAGGAAAAACCAAGCTGCCAACTCGATAAAATTGCCACTGTCTGTTTCTTCATTTTACTATTACATACAGCCAGTTCCTCAGTATGATAAACTCCAAATATTAACATAAGTGTTTAAAAAACCACCTAAGAGGCAGGAATCCTTACCAAAATGAATGACTAGTAACAAGAAAGTAGCGCGTTGAAGGCTACAGAATGATTCACCTAACTCACTCCACCTTGGTTTGGTGTCAGAGGAACATTGTACCGTTGTGCTATTGCTTAAGCATTGCTGAATAATGAGTGACTGCATTGAATCCAAACACAGAGCGTAGATCAAGGGTATGACTATGATGAGCGGGACCAGTTTTGTCCCATAACATTTCAATATGTATAGACCTCCCTGGAAAAAGAGTTTGGAACAAAGCATTATAGCAATTGAAGAGCCCATCTTGATGAGACATCACAAAACCCTTTTAAAGAATGAAATTTAGAATTGAAAAACATTTGGATCTCAAGACGTAAACTTGGAAGTAACTAGATGAGTCAATTTTGAATATGAGCTCAATAAGACATTCTTAGGAGGAAAGTAGTACTATACCATTTTAAAAGAGGAGATAAACAGTGTAGAATGCCTGCTAATGCTCCTCCAAAAAATGAGAGCCCTTCAATTCCTTTGTGTTGAAAATTTTCTAGATACGGATAAACAAGCCTTTATGGGGTCCACCTAAGATGTACATTCAAAGTAGATGGCTGATTTGCTTAAATACACTATTTTTTTCTCTCTTCTATGCATTCTGTTCTTTGGTGAGTATTAACATTCTGTCCTTATGGATATCGTAAGCATCATGATCTTCGTATTTTAGATTTACATTTCCATAAAATATAAGAGTATACTTCAGCAGATACAGTGTCAACTTATTTAGTCTTGCTTCTTAAGATCCCACAATGGGCCTGTTGCAAACTTTTGCTAGAGCAGAATGAAGAGTTGTTTCCTATAGATAATGCTTCAAAAATCACGATGAGCGCATCGGCAAAGTCTGAAATGCACTCATAAATTCACAATCTGCGTAAGAAATTTGCGTTATTTTGAGCTTCCCGCTTCAAAAACGATACTACTGCACAGGTGAACATTTTGTTAGAGGAGTCGCTCCATCGTCGGCAATATTCATCATGGCCGACGCTTGCGCAGTTCCTCGCGTAATTCGAGGAGAGTTCAAGGTCCATTAAGGCGGGCGAGGAAAATATGAACGTAAACACGCCGATTGTTATATGGTTTAATCCTGTTCAGGTGTTATCTCGTCCCATCACACGTGTTTTGGCGGACTGGCGTCGGCCATAATGAGTATTGTCGCCAATGGAACGACTCCTCTAACAAAATGTTCACCTGTACCGTAGTATCGTTTTCGAAGCGGGAAACTCAAAAAACCGCAAATTTCTTACGCAGATTGTGAAGTTATGAGTGCATTTCAGACTTTGCCGATGCGCTCATCGTGATTTTTGAGGCATTATCTGTAGGAAACAACTCTTAGTTTTGCTCTAGCAAAAGTTTGCAACAGGCCCATTCATGATGATGCAAAAACATGCTGAAATATTAGAGTCTTAATATGTTTTATTTCATTCTCGTTCTCGCCTATTCTTATGCATTTATTTGTATTTTGTTCTGAATTACCAGAGCATCTCATCTTTGCAGTTGCTAAATATGAGGTGGAACACTACATACCTCAAAATTATAGAAGAATTTATTTTTTCCTATGGATCGTTGCATGACTTCTGGGTTTGCTGCACCAATTATTAAAGAAACAGAGAGAAAAGGCAGAAGGACGCATGAAAGATATAGCATCTGTCCGATACCGAACGGATTAGGTAAGTTGAAAACGGCAGTGATGATTTGAATTAGACTTGATGCTACACTACAAACCATCCAAAACTGGAAGACACCTAGACAGCGAGACATGAAATTTCTTGCCTGGAACCACGATAAAACAAATAAATACTTAGAAATGAAAAAAAAATACTTATAAAACTTCAGATTCATTGGTGAAAATTTGGAATATCTTACTTCAGGTTTCCACTAAAAATTTCGGTTAGAACTCACTTTGCAAAAGGGATGACTAAATTTACTGATGGGCTAATCAGTGCAAACAGAATGGGTCTGTTGCACAAAACAAGCACAGACAATAACCGCAGTATCATTAATGAAATCGACAGACGAAGTGATAGACGTATAAGGGAGCGATCTCATGGGTGGAAGCGAGTGGATGAAATGAAGAAAGGAGCTGAGAATAGACTAACTAACAGAAACTTACAAGAGACCCTAAATTTAGTCTACCATTTTCTCCTTCAGCCTATATCAACCAACCATTTCAACCAATAGAATAGCTTTATTTTTCCTTTGTCTATTTCTTTGTTTATCGATTTCAATAATTAGCCTGCTGAGTAGAATAAGCAGAGGTAAAACAGCTCAAAAAACATATAAAACATTTCTACAGTTTACTCCAAATGCAAAGTTTGCATTCTCTATTTAGAAAAATTTCTTGGTCGCACTTTTATCTTAACCACAAGCTATCAAGTTTGTCTACAGAAAGAAGTTGGAAAATCTAATTTAAATAGACAATAAATCCTTCATTATTGTATATTTAGCATTCTGAAATACTAAATCTGCAAAATGCCCTTACTGCACCCAACACAACAATAACATTGATACGTATGTTTGTTCTTTATCAGATCGTCTTACCTCCATTATAAAACTGTACATGAGAGCAATATCCTCTGTTCTTAAGTAGAGAGCACAAGGAAGGGAATTCATCAAAGACGATAAGGCACAAGGGGAGTATCCATCTGGCAGATCCATCATTAGCGGGATTTTCTGGCACAGCTGCGGATACATGGGTTCCACTGCAACACTCACATTTGCTTGAACAAAGACACCTGCGAACAAATAACTTGAGTAAAATATTCGCTGTCATTGAAAACCAATTTATGGAACTAATAAAACCTCTGATATTGGAATTGCATCTCTGTGAATTTTTAAATGAAGATTCCAAAAATGATCTCCGTACCTCTGAAGCAGTTGTTTCCTCAATAATCAAAATTTTCCCCTGAAATTGAGCTTTCCCTGGCAAATTTCAATTTTCCATTAGTTTTCGCAAGATGAGAAAAGAATAAAAGTGTTTCTGGATTCAGTGGCAAATCAATTAATATGTACGTTCCGATGGCATGCCTGGAAGATTGTTTTGTTCTTTTTAACATTGAACTGCCTGCAGACAATGACTCAATTCGACTCTATAACCTTACATACAGGGTGAGCCAAAAATCCCGCACCACCTCTATAACCCCTTTTTCAGAGTGATCTCATTGAAGTAAAAAAAAAGTAATGAAAATTGGGAGTTCCCAGAAGTCAGATCCTTCAACAGGGTGTCTAGTTTTTTTTCGTTCTACGAAATCCTGATTTTCCCTGATTTTTGACTGCTAAATCCTGATTTTGTAATTTTTCCAAATCCTGATCAAATCCTGATTTTTTGCAGGGAAAAATTTAAATGTCTTCATAAGCGTATGCAAAAACGGAACTCAAGAATTAAGTTCTGAGGACTTCTCTCAAATCCTGATTTTACGACCGATTTTTCCTCAAATCCTGATGGAATCGGGTTTAAATCCTGATTGACCTCAAATCTTGATAGAATCAGGAAAATCCTGATACTGGACACCCTGTGCAACCTGAGAGCACCTACAAAATGTTAAGTCCCAATCTCAATTCATTCAAAAGTTACAGGAGTGATGCCTAGTGCTGGACTTTTGGACCACTCTTAATAACTCTTCAAGTTAAGGGTGTTTCGCATAGAAAAAGGGATAAAAATTACAATCAGACTGTTTGATGGTGATAATCCCACTTATATTTTGGTGCTGACGCCAAGGATAACTTCAATCTTCATTCCCGCACCTACCACTTTTTTTTTTTTTGAACTGAATTTAGAAGAAAATGAGTTATCCCAGTAAATTTTCAAAACTGAATGCATTTAACTTACCAGCATTTTTTGCGTTGGCAGAGGAACCAAGAACGCAGTCGACTTCATTGTTCTCTTGTCGAATAAGTAACATTTCCCTTGTGTTCTCTGGGGTACAGTCGACAAACAAGGATATCAAAAGTGGAACATTGTCAACTCTTTCTAGATGATCTCGCACGTTTTCAATCCCCACTGGTAACTTGCTCTAAAAATAAAACAGAGATGGATCGTGATAAACTAGGAAAATGGATGGATTAGCTCAAATCAAAACATTAAGAGTTTATTTTTTCTTATTTAGATTTTTGCTGCCCTATTTACGAGAAAAATCATCTTCAATGATGGTAATCAGTATTATCTTCAGGTTTTAGGGCCCTTTTGAGGAGACAGCATCAAAACAATCCATCCAGAAGTTATGCTGAGACATTCCATGACCTTGACTATTAGCTCATACTTTCCGAGCTTAACTCGTTCCTTACCCACTTTTTTTCACAATTTTTCCTGTCAGGCCAAAAACATGCGCAAAAAATGACAAATTTAATTGCTTCAAACCATAGTTTCCACTGATCAGGGCAGAGCTAACGCCTCTCATTTGTTACCTGCGTAACTGGTGCTCTACAATTAGTTCTGTGAAAGACTGCTAGACGCGAAGCGCGATGAAAAATTGCTGTTCAACCCGCCGATCACTTCGATCTTTTAGGGCAGGCGTAGCCAACAAAAAAACGGTCACTGCCATCAGGTTGGCAGTGAACATATTAAAAATTAAACCAATTACTGACGGTTTTATTCATTCCTTCAATGTCATAATAGTCGCACAATTTTCTTTTTCTTTCGTTGAAAATGATGATTTTTAAGTTTCCTATAAAAATACAAGAGTATTAAGTTAATCATTTCCAGCCTCAATCTAAGATTGCAATGTTTGGAAACATCAAGTTTTTAATGTGTTAGGTAATTTATTAGGTCTGCATCTTTGTAGAGGAAGCATTTAAGATTATCAAAATCTTACAATGTTTGGAAGGGCATAATCTGGTGGTGCCGGCTCGCCACTATCATCACTTGCACAGCTCAGGCTTCGATTGCTTGTTAGGCACTTTTCAACATCAGAAAATAACAATGCTTCCGAGGTGTCAACAGTCCTAAAAAAGGCAAGAATTAATGAAAAAAATTGCAATGGCACATAAATTTTTGAATTACTAGATTGGTACAACTCCAAAAACTATGTATGTACATATTTTACAATCTGGGTGATATTTTTCTTTCAAATATCATCAGACCTTTTGAAATAACAACAGTAGAATCGTCTATATTATTTGATTAAAAATTTATGAGATTTTTATGATTGTTGCTAATGGCAAAAAAAATTAAGAATTTTAAAATTTCTGAAGGCTACTGAGAAAAATTGGTTCATCAGTTTCATCATTTTAAAAACTTTGTGTATTAAAAAATGGAAGGAAATCAGAAGAGAGGCTTACTTACTCGCATGACACAGGGTTCAACTGAAAATTCAGTTTGGTGTCGTCAGAGGTATGAGATCCAAAAGGAGAGACATCGTATGAATTTTTTCTTGAGTCAGGGGTTTGAATTTTTGAGAAACACGATTCAGGAAAAGTAGCAGATGCTGACAGAGACCGACTTAGTTTCCTGCATTAAATGGAAATAATATGAAATGTCATCGAATTTTGAAAAAAAGAACACATTACTAGGCTTTGTTTGTTCGTAATATCTGGCGGAATGACTAATGCCACAACGGAGAAGAAGGATAGGCAGATTATTATCAAGAAATTAGAATGATCTGCAAAACTTATTTGAATGAGAGATTAGAAATTGGATGAGGAGAAAACGAACAGAGGGTAACCAGGGCTAGAAGCTCATAAGTTCAAAGGGACAGTGGGTATATATCCTGGCAATCCCTTATTATTCTTAGTCACATGCTTTCAGCTATTTTTCCATGTTAGTCCGAACTATGATGAGTATTCAAATATTACTGACGAAAATTTAATGAATGCTGTTGACTCCTAATTTTCCAAATACATGTACTTCGTAAATGAAGGGTCAAGATTCAATGAAATTCTGCATAACATAATTGACCCAACTTAGTTGAACCCTATGAACTAATTTATTCCTTTCCAATTGGTAAGTTTATTCAGAACATTTCTGACACAACTTTACACAGCAATCAATCTAAAATTGCAAAAACAACAAGAGGTAATTGTTTTAAAAGAAATTCAACGAGAAAATAACAAAAGAATAAAACCAACCGAATATGCCGCAGAGATTTGGAGGTGCGAAAGCAGGATGAGAGTCTGCAACGATCTTCAGATGCTTCAGTTTTATATCCATCCCTTCCACATTTCTTCAAAATGTCTGTTGTTTTGTTACTTCAATGTTAATTCACAACAGTTAGTAATCAAACATTGATAATTAACACATCAAAATCATTTAGTAGCACATAAAAATCACACAAACAGAGAAATGAGCTTGATGAAAGAGAACTTTAAACGAGTGGATGCACTTACACTAGGTGCAAAAAATACCATGATGAAATCATAAAAACACATTTTTCAATTGCGGTACATTTCAAAATGCCCTATCTGAGTTTCGTAATTTATTTAAAAAATAAAATACGGCAAAAAACTTACTATATTGTCAAACATGATACATGGTTCTACGATTTCATCGATGATAAACATTTTACGATATTTACCATTTTTATGGCACTTTACAATAAAAGAAAAAAAATTCTTAGTTTTGTTCATTAAAAAGAAAGTCATGTTCTTCCATGGTCAGTTTTTGTTCTCATTTTTTAACCTAATTTCAAACCTCAAAAACAAACTTATTTCATGATTGATGGCACGCCACTCTTCCTTCAGTTTGACGTGACTTTGAGGTCTCATTTCATTTCAAGAAAAAAGAAAAATATAAAGAATAATACAAAGAGCAATACGTTTGAACATGCTTGATATACTGATGTGGAAAATACAAGATCTTGATAAATTGGAGTAATGATAGTATAAATCCCTCTACAGAGAGGAAATCGTAATGCTTTCGAATCATGAGAATGGCTCAAAAATGGAAATGCATGGAATTTTACTGTACTAAAGGAAACTTCCAATATAAAATACAAGAAGCAAATATTTTCCAGCAACTGAGGGCTGCTATTCAAAAGAGTCTGACCTTAGTTAGCTAAAAACTAGCCCAGCAAATTCGAAAAAGTCTATTCCACAAAGTAATTTTTGCTGAGTAAAAAGTGGTTTGGTAAAATTAAAAAGAGGTTATCTTTCGACTGTTATACAATTGTAGAAACCGTTGTAGAAACTCTTGCAGTTCACCAAACAACTCAATGAAAATTTCCATGTGTGAGCGAGGTGCTAGTTTTTTTATTTTACTTTAGTATAAAGCAAAAACAATGTTAAGGAATGCATTAGTAATGATTAAAAAAATAAAAACCTATTTTTTACCTGGGCATTTTCATGAAAAGAGTACACACATCTAAGAATTAGGACAGGGAGAATAATTCTTAGAATTTCTTGCTCTTAAATTCTTCATCGGTGTGCCAAATTAGACACTCTGGTATAATAAAAAAAAGCAAATTCCTTAATGTCTTAAGTCATTCGCACAAGCAATGGGATGGAGAAAATAATTATTAAAGTCATTACCTATCTTTCTTCTCATTTTCCAGTGAAATATGACAGTTCCAGCCCGCTGCTTCCTTTCCTAATTTTTCGTGAAACGGACCAGCTCTTTGGGCATTTTCCACACTAAAAAAAATAAACCGGATGCAGGCTCTTTCAATGCCTTCGATCAATTGCACCTTGAAACAAAACAAGCAAACAGTATGACTCAACTCTTCAAAACAAACTACAATCACTCTATGATGCTGTAGAAAAAAGTTGAACGAGAGTTAAGTGTTACGAATATTTAAGAAATGCTACCAAAAAAGTACAGTTGGTTTTTGTAAACACAAGCCAAGAGCCTAGAATTATTTAAAAAACACAAGATTTTTCTTATAAAAAAGATGACTATTTCAAGACTAGATTTATCATAATTATGCTGTTTAAAATTACTGTAAGAGATAGATCTGCAGACGCTAGTTGTATATTTACATTGGATCCATGAAAACTTTGGGCTCCTGGAATGAATCTAAGATAGGCTGTAACTAGACTAGACTAGGATGCTGGGGCATAGAATCTAAATTCCTTATAGGCAGTTAACATGTAAGCTTAAAAGTATGTTGCTTTCATACTTGAAAGGCAGGTTGACAATTTGAAGTTTGGCAAAGATTATTCATGACTTCAATCATTACTTACAACATCAATCAGAGCTTGATACTGCATTGACACCATCCCAAGAAAAATTTGATTACAGTTTTGCTGAAAACATCTTTTTGCGTCACTTGGATGAACTGCTTTCAGTCTTTTTGTTCCTTCATTTATGTTATCTGAAATGAAAAAGATGCAAACAACTAGAAACCTTTAATTAAGGCTATGACAAATTTTCATTTGAAAGATGAAAAAAGATCAAGAAAAACTACTGCCATAATTTGAGCGAAATTGTTTTCATTAGGTTCAAAAGGTTTGGATTATGACTGTTTTGAGCAAGGCTGATAAAATGTTTAATTTATTTCCCATTTATTTGGGAATCAAAATTAACAATTGATTTAAAATGGTTCTTAGGCTATTACAAGGCATTTTTTGTATGTATAAGAGTTTTAAGCCACCTATGTAATTGAGAGAGGAAATTCATTACTTTCGAAAAATTTTCCTTGAATCAAATGATGAAATACGTCCAAACAACTCCGGTGCTAAACATTGCAAAAGGAAACATGAATGGTGTCTTACCGGAGGAACAATAATGTTCGATGAGGCTGCAGTTGTTGAAGGAGGACACATAGTGATATGGCTGTTCATAGAGGTTCTGGGCGATGCATGGGATCTCCAGGTAAACTTGAGTGAATTCTTTTGGGATCGGTGCCGATAAAGCACGGAAAGAAAACACAGTGCAATACCCAGTTGCAACAGCATGTTTGTAAAAAGATTCCAATGATTTTCTGAGAGAAAGTAAATGATTAATCAGAGACCAAAGAGAGAGAGAAAGAGAATATTTTTACCGAAACTATTCTGCCAACGTGAGCTTTTTCTTTTTGGGTATTCTAGTTCTTCAAAAAGAAGTTCACTATTTGCAATAAATAATCATTTGTCGGTCATTATGAAAAATCCTTCAAATTTAAGTTAAAAACTCGAATTAATTAAAACGTACATTTCACAGAAAAAATGTAACCGGTGCATCAATAGGACACCATGTTGATATTATTCTCATCAGATTTCTTTTAGAGACTACTAAAATTCTCATTGTCCCGATGAGATTTTACTCATTATGAAAAAAAAATTCATGGGAGCAACGGTAGGCTGATTATTGAAATGGATGGACAAAGGGATTGACAAAGAAGCCAATGGGAAAACTGAGCGATCCAATTGGTTGAAATGGGCGGCTGTTACAGACCAAGTGGAACATGGAGGACTAAATGCAGGGTCTCTCGTGAGTTGCCGTTAGATAGTCTATTACTGACCTCCTTCATCCACTACAATCATCCACTTCCACCAATAGAACCTCTTCATTTTCCCTTTGTTCTCTTTGTCTGTTAATTTCAATAATCAACCTGTAGGAATATCAGTTGTTTCAAAAATAAATCCATGGTGAGAAATATAAATAGGACGATGCTCTGAGGAATTCCTCCTTGTGTTCTTTTGATTACAGCTTCATCGTATTGCTTGCTGCAATACATGTAAAGAACTACACTTGAAAATTACTTTGCGTTGTCATACAATTAACAACTAACAACCTGACTTTCATCAATTCAAAATTTTTTTAACAAAAATGTATAAACTTCAAAATTACCGTTCAACTTTGGTGAGCGGATGGACAGTCTTGCCATCGAAATATTCAATGCAGGCATCCATAACAACATCAAAAGTACCTTGAGTCAACATGTGAACTTCATCCGTTCCAAATTTTTCATAGACAGTGCTTACAAGATGAGGAAACGGTACTACTCGCATCTCACCGCTCAGCTTTGATTTCACTTTTGTAGACTTATAGGTGCGGAATAAAAACCGTTCCCGCTGTAAGCAGATGAAAACACCAAGAATAAACATAGATAGAGAAAAAAATCATGGACAATCCTAACTTTGATAGTGATATTTGCCGTCATCTACAGGAAAAGGGACTGGTCCACCTAAACTTAAAATCGAGTTACGAATAGTTGAGTGTAAAAGAGTGTTCAAAGAAAGTTTTGGGACAAAAAACACCAAAAAATGTTAAATTAAACCAAAGCTTCATAACTCATTGATAGGTGTTGATGCTTCTGAGGAAAAGTATTTACTGTGAAATTTGGCAATTTAAATTAAAGCAGACTTACCACATGCTTGTAGATAAAAACTTGAGACTTAATTTTGAACTGGGCTAAAACTTTATCCTCAACAAAACCAATCTGCTTTGCAATCTCACAGAGACACCTGCAAATGGAAGATCCAAAACAATAATGAGCTTACAAGAAATGATAATTAAGGAAAGGGTAAAGCTCTTGAGAAAGAGCGGAAATATGATTTACATTCCTTCTTTAGAACAAGAATGGATAAAAAAGCAAGGATATACGCAGACAGTTAAAATGGCAGGGTCTAAGTTGAACCAGAATGTGCATTAACTAGAGTAACACACTTTTTTTTGGAAGAAGTAGATCTTGAAATGTGGCAACCAAGAAATGTCTCACCTTCGATCAAAAAAAGTGAGTTTATTTTGATTGTAATGATGAGCTTGACAGGATACATGGGAGGAAAATTTGGCATAGTTTTCAATTGTCCCAGGATTACAAGTATTGAGTAGAATAGCCAATCCAATCGGCTTGAGTGAATTCATGTAACGAGACCATGTAGCATCATCAAACTGTAGACTGAAGTCGTTGGTCTTGTCATGACTGATATCCAAAATCTCTCGTACGAACTTAGGAGACTTTTCACCTCCGTCTGTTTTCGCTCTTTCGTTGCCCGCCAATTCCGATGAGGTCTCAGCATCATCTGACAAAATACGGAAGAAATTCGTGAATGATTTCTATCAAAATTGGATGAAAAGGAAAACATAAATTTCAGGCATTGAAAGTTTCCACAAAAATAGCAGAAAGTATTTGCTTCACTTATTCACTAAACCTAAAATATCCGCTGGTGACAAATAAATACCAAAATAGATAAAAGGCAGTCCTTTTGTTCTTAACATGAGGTTTTTTTTTAAAGTACTATCCTCCTTCATATGGGATTGATATTTTGCATGGATTCTTAAAAAGTTGACAAGTTAAACTAATTTATATTTTTCAACATATTAGTTGATGTTGAAGAAAAAAAGTTGGAAATACCACTTATTAGAATATTTTTGTATGTGTAAGCTTAGAAATTGGACTCATATCAATGAGATGGTGCAAGGAAAAAAAAATAAAAAAAAATTTGAATATTTCACTACTTCCTGAGACAGGGTATAAAGCTGTTTTTCTTCACCTTCGTAACTCGCAGAAATAAAACATCACATAGAGAACAAAATCGAAGTCCACAATTTCTCATCAAATTTTCTCAACTCTTCTTGACACGTTTTCAAGTTTGCTAGAATTTAAAGAAGGAGAAACATGATGTCAAACCAAACACTAATTTTTTGCCAAGCAAAGGAAATTGCTTTCGAAGATCAATTTGACATAAATCGATTTTTATTTAATCGAGAAACGAAAGTTTGCATTAACTGAGTCTGATGTGAAATACAAACGTTAATATCTCACTTCAAAATTAATTTTGGAATTTTTCAATACGGTAAACATGTTCTGTGTGAAATTTTGGGTAGGCAACAGATACCGTGGAGGTTTGGTTTTCACCCTATCTCAAGAAATTTAATTTAAAACGTTAATAGAAGAGAGCTTACCACCACATAAAAGCGCATTGTCTAAACTTTGAGCCGCTGCTCCGATTCCGGTGAAGGTGAGCTCTATGGATTCATTTGCAGCCCCAAAATCATTCCCAAACACTACGCCTTCAAAAGATGCATTATTCAAGGATGCCTTGTCTATTTGGTTTAATTGGTTTCCTAATGTCAAACCATTGGACAGCTCGTCTTTTTTGGATGACTCAACATTTATCTTTTCCGTATACATGTGGACGCTATTTACACTATTGGATCCAAAAGAGATATTGTCCATATAGGGAATTTCTGACGAAAGCTCTTTCCTCAAAAAAGGTGTACTTTCTGTTGTTTCGGGTTCAATTACTTTGTTTTCATTTAGATCATCCTCATTCGTTTTGTCCGCATCCATGGCATTGTTCCTTTGATCCAGGTCGTTTTCTTTGGATTCATCGCTGAAATTTTTTAAAAAAAAACTCTTAGGGTTAATCAGCTCTCTTTTTGGGAATCTTTGTGAATGTTTTTTTAGGAAATTTGTTTGTACTGAGCAACAGGCAACTATATTAAACTACAGAAACAAAGGGAAAGTGTAGATCATGAAAAAATTGGAATAATAGTATGAATGTTTGAAGGGGATAATGCAGAGAATTTTAAACTAAAGAACATCAAAAACTGTTGAAATTGACAGTGGTTTCAGAGAGAAAAAATATCATGGAGTGGTTTTAAGGAGAAAAAAATATTTGAACAAACTGTGCGAGACTAGGTCTGTGTCAACATTGCGGCGCACGCTGTTATCATTTGGAGGAATTTTATTATTTTTGTCTGTCTTATCTTCTTGACCTGCAAGGAAACTAAAGATCTCGATCGCTAATAAGATGTTGCAATATTTCTACCAAATATCACACGCAAAATACCGACAAATTCAGTTTTCAGCTCTGTCTTCCTAAGAATTGGCACACAGAAGGTTCAATTTTAAAACGTTAGTGAGCTCAGGACCACATAAGGGACATCATATAAAATAATATCGAAATTTAGCTGGTGTCGAATTTTTTGGTATTGTGTTCATGGTAATTCAGGTGGGACATTCACTCGATTTCCAATTTGCCAAAGTGGACAGCCCTTGCATGCAAAGCACTCGAAGCACTCGAGCACTCAAGTGTACTTTGAAAAGTTAAAGGCAAAGAATAACAGTAATGAATAAAATGAACTCACCCATACTTATCTGGTTTTTTTAAGAAACAAATTGCATCAGCGCTTGGATTAGGCCATGACAACACGCCTTCTTTATCAACGAAACATAAGCCCTGAAAAGCAAATTAGTTTTTCAAAATTCAAGAGCGTAGTGAGTGAATTATGAGAAATTGAGAGAGAAAGAAAAACCATTTAGGTGATTCTTAAAATCTGAGAAATGGGATTTATGTTGGGCATTTTAAGTACATCAATTGCTGAATTCACAGACCAAGTGGTGTGTGTGTATGTGTGTGTGTGTGTGTATATATATATATATATATATATATATATATATACACACACTTAAATTTTATACAATTTTTGTCACAACTACTGGATTTGACCTTTCGTATCTATTGACTCTGTTTAAGGTTGTTTACATGATACACAGACCAAGCATGTACATATTTCCATTTGCAACAATGCAGACTTCTCATCAGAATTTCTTTTGTAATAGGAGAAGTACTTCACGAAATTCCTTGACAATAACTATAATTTTGTTCTTCTCTATTTTACAAATATTCTATCATTCAATAAGATTGGCTGGATTCCTATAAGAAAAAATAGAATTGGAGCAGAAATTTGGAAACACCAGAAGAATGCGTACGGTTTCCTGGCAAAGAAACTTTTCTTTTTACTTAATTAATCCTTAAAGGTAAGAGGACACATTTACTTTTCTTATTTAGAGTATAAAATCCGTGGAGACATTTTTTTAAGAATAAAAAACAATATAACTAATGTGTAAGAATATCGTAAACTGAAATATGAGCCGTGGTTTGATTTAAATTCCCGAAACTTAAATCGAAAGGCCTTCAATCGCCATAGTAAAAATAATAGTTATTGGCCTCAAATAGCTTTATTTTTGAATTCCACTTTCAACTATTTGAAGGAGTTCACGGAAAACCTGAAGTTCGAATTTTCGAGTACTAATACTACTTTTTTGTAATGTATGACTTTTGTAAAATGTTAATTGTAAAAATTGGCTTTAATACAGAAAAATATCTATTATTTATTGAAAAGCTAATGACAGATGCAAGACTTGATTGACCTTGATGTATTCAGTTTCTTACTTCTCCATTCCTCCACTATTCTTCAGCAAAGTTTGGTTTGATGAGATTCCGATAAATATATGATATTGCAAAGAGTAAATTATATTTGAACTACAAATGCAGAAAAAATTCTGCTTCATCCGATATATTATTTAGCACGCTATATTAACAGAAATAGTGTATACATGCTTTTGTTCTTACCGTTAAGGATCCTAAAACATGCAGCAAATTAGACGAACGGACCAAATGATGACTTTGCCCAGTTACATTTTTGAGGGTGTCTCCTAGAATCAAAAGGTGAAGAGGAAGTTAGATCATGGTAAAAAACGAGAAATGAAAAGTAAATTTTTGCTCCTCTGCTGTAAGAGCGTATCTTGATTTCCGCATGTGCCTCAGAAAGCATGGCTTTATATGTTAGATGGGGTTAAGATAAAAATTGAGTTAGACCCTTTCGTCAAAGGGGTAACGAAATATCATGAAGACCTTCTACAGTAATGATAGCTATGTTCTAATGAAAACAGAGATCAAAATCAAGAGCGTAAAAATAAAAGAGAGGGAGCATAAAATCAAATAATTCATACATGATTATACACTTTCAAATGTGTCTAAGAATCACAAACTGATCTTAAAATTTTTAAACAATATGATACTAGAGTGATAAATGGCTGCTTTTTTTTTTCTTCTTTTTTTTTAATAGAATATTTACTTTTTCTAGTAGGATGGGATATAAAAAAAAGAAAGATCTGTCTTTTTATTAGATAAACCTTTAAAAAACATTAAAACTGAAAATCTTAACTAAGATAACTTACTTCCAACTGATGCCCAATTTAATAAAAACTTTTCCTCAGAGCCGGCAGAGAATTTCGATTTTTTTTTCACCTATGGAAACCAGAAAGGCAAGGGTTTTATTAAGAGTCTGCTGCGAGAGTTTGTCGATGGTGAAACTGCAAAAGTGCATATCTTGGTTGTGGTAACTCAAAATCTTCGCTCCTATTTTATCCTTTGAAAGGAGACCAAAGCAACATCATGGCTTGAAATTTTCACACGACATTCTTCACATGGAAAGGAAAAATCACCGAAGTTTTAAAAAATGACATTCGGTGGTTTTCCATGTAAATAAAAAATCAAGTATGACAGGAAGTCTGCAAAACCGGAAACTGATACGCGCATTTGTGCAGTTTCAGCATCGTTATGCACTTATTGCAATGAATATCAACAATGCTTTTCATTGCTATCTTTTAGTGACAGAATTAAAAAAAAATAGGAGGTAGGACAGAAAATTATATTCGAGTGCTAGCACTGAAAAACCTATTTTCATATCAAGGGGAAAATTTTACTTCACAACAGTTTTAGATATATTTTAAATAGATGTAAAACTGGCATCCACCTGCACACAAGTTGTTATGGTTAAAATTACACCTACTCCTTCCGTAAAACTTTGTAAAAAGGAAGAGTTCATTTTCATAAAATAATTCAACTCTAACAATCTTACTGTTTCTTCACATGACATTGTGAAAATAAATTCTCATTTTTCACACGGTTTGAAGATACTAGGTGTAATTTTCTTATTTTTCCTAAAACCTTAGGGCAAGCAGTGCTTGTCTTGCTTCTTCGTTGGGCATGTCACTGGGAATAAGAGACATATATGGATCATTCTCTCTATTTTAATTTGATTTGACTTTGTTCCTTTCTGCTGAGACCAGTCAAATTAAATATTGTTTATTCAGGGATAATTTTTGCGAACGGGCACTGGTGGCAGCAATAATTTGAGTACAGCAAAAGGACTATAACTATCTAACTATACTAGAAAACAATCAAAGATACTTCAGAAACATTAGCATTGCGTACCTCTGTTTTTGGTGTGGAGAGGAGCAAAGAATTTCCGAGACAATTTAAAAAGAGCCAACAGATTGGATGAGCGAGTGGCAGGAGAGGTAGAACAGTTATCACAGGCTGTATCAAAAGTAACATTCTCCAGTCTGTGTCTGAGAATTCATCCACAAAATCTGATTTGAACCACCTTGCCAAGTTGATGATAAATATAACTATCTGCTCAATTGGGGCAAAAAATACAATTACTCATGACAAATGTACTATATGATTTCATTTCTAGAGTGGAACGGCATGAAACAATACTGCTGTGTTAAGGAAAAACGCCATATAAAACTTCAGGCGTTGCCAAATTTCCTTTGATAAAATGCAAATTTCCTGGTAAACTAATAAATATTTTCCTCCCAATTTTTCAGATAATTTCATCCTCAATCTCACGTAAAGATTCTGAAAATTTAAAGGAAAAATATTCATAACTCTCCTCAAAAATAAACACTTTATCGAAGGGAATATGGCAACTCTCGAATGTTCATACGGCGCTCTTCCTTAGCACGGCAGAATAGACAAGTAAAAAATTTAAACAATGCATGGTATAATCCTTCGGCAAAAGTCACACATGAACTTGTTACACACATCAAACAATTACCTTAAATTAACTGATAAATAAACAATTTTTCTTTATATTTTACATTAGAATCAGAGAAGCCAAACTTCCTAGACACAAATGAACTACATTTTGTAATTAGGGACACATTTTTGGCTCAGCATCAGAAAGAGCATTCAGTAATTTGGATACTAATATAACTTGAGAATGGAGGACGGTGATTTTAAAGCAGCAAATTGCAACTGAAGTGATAATTTCATTGTCAGTCCAAAGATTTTAATTATGCGCCACTTTAACCACATCGATTTTAATTTGTCTACCAGTGTTTCATAAATAAATCAATGATTAAGTATGAATTGCACTTGCTGATGGAAGTTCAAAGGTTTAAGCAGGAATATAAAGAAACACTTCTTTCTTGCAAATGCAAACCATTTTATAATGGTTAAAATAAGTTAGGTTAGCAGTAATAGTTGTCAATTGAGGTCCAAACGATTTATACTGCAGTAAACTGCCACAGACGATGCAGAAAATAGGTAAGTTAGTATATAAATACGTAATCTGAAAAAAAAGTGTGAAAAAAAACCTCTGAGAGGTGATACAGTTGAGAACTTACAAGAATTGATGGAAGGATTAGTAGTTGAACAAAGATGGTGAGAAACTGGTAGCGCTTGCGTTCGAAAACTGTGATTGGTCTGTTTGGATGATCACTAAGGCACGTTCTTAAGTTACGCAGGTACGGAGTTTCAGTGAGGGTATAGGCTATATTGTTGACAGGTTTACATGCATTTGGTTTACGACAGATCAACTGGCCGATTGTGGATGAGGTTGGTATTGGAGCATACGTTTCTCCAAATTTGAGCTCTGATGGTTCTTGGTCCTCCGTATCTGCTTTATCATTCTTTAAAAAAACATTTCAAACACTCATTCTTTAAATTCAAACAAAAGATGAAACTGATCATACTTGTACATCACTAAGCATGGCAGATTTATAAATGTGGAAGAAAAGTTTTAAAAACAAAAATAGCTTAGAGCTCAATGTAGTATTTCGTAGGATAGAAAATTCTCATAGTCATGTAATGATTAATGGCATCTGAGAGGGTAATTAAATAAAGCACCTTTTCCGGGATCAACTTATCATGATGGAAATTTTTTGAGTACGAAATGAGCACTTTTTTTTAATACATTACAGCGTCATTGCAGCGTTCTCTTGCAGCATTAGAAAATACTAAAAACATCAGCTTTCATATTTTACACTGTAAAATGAGACCAAGTTGCTAACTCATTTTCGCCAAAATTGTCTGTTGGGCAGTATTGTTCTTTAGCCTTCGTTATTCTCATACAAAAGTTGGAGTGGTACTAAATAGAAGTTAAAATGCAGAAAAGCACAACTTGGTTTGCAGAATTGCAAACTTCCTGTCTTACTTCATTTTCTATTAAAAAAACTACTAGATGTCATTTTTGACACTTGGGTGATTTTTATTCTCTGAGTGAACAAGATTCTGTAAAAATGTTAAGCCATGATCTCTTCGATCTCCTGGTTCGATCTCTTTTTAAAAAATTAACTAGGAGTAGAGATTCTGAAACATTACAACCGAAAAATGCATTTTTAAAATTTCGTTGTGAAAATGCTCTAATCCCAAGATTTTCAAAGGAAAACACAGCTTGAGACTGATTCAGCGTGTGAGCAAGCAGGCATTGAGATTATCTAACAACTTATTCTTCTCCAAGGAAAAATCAAAATCTCTTTCTACTCAACTCGATGAAAATTTCTCCGCTGAAACTTTGACCTTTATCAACTGGGGCCCCCTGGCTCTCAATAGTCACAAATAATTATCGAACATTGTCACTTACCAAATATTTGATGCAGTTCCCTGGTACGACTTGACCTGGACGGATCAAAACTGTGTCTCCGGCGACTAGGAGAGCCCATGGTAATGTGACGAGGCGACCGTCTCTGTAGACCCATTGGAGAGTGATGCAAGGAGAAACAGGAGTATACAGTGGTGGATAATTTTCAGCTTTCCATTCTGTTTTATCATGGGTTTCTATTTGCAAAAAAAGGAGTAAAAGAGAAAGCAAGGCTTCATTAAAGCTGATTAAAGTCGTTAACCCATTACACCAATATATGATGTTATAGGTCGTACCTCTACATGATTGAATCTGTCGTTCGCATATAGGTTCAATTGTCAGAGATTAAAATGCAAGGACAACAGTACAATCTGTTTAAATTGACTGATTTTCAACCTCAGAGCTTAAAAAGTTGACGTCTAAGGAGAAAAACATTTAAATAGGATTTTAATGTTTTCAATAATTGTCCTGAAATTTCAACCAAAAAAGAAGAAAAATAATTGGGACTTGAGCCCTTTTAAGAATGAACAGACAATTTTCAACATTTTCCCCCATTCGATCATCAATTTTTGACCTTTCGGCAATTGAGCTTTCTTGGGAATGATCAATTCAATTGGTCGACATGCGATACTGCATGTGATTAAAGATCTCTTGTCAAAATTTTGAAAGCATCATATGATTGCTCAAAATTTCCTATAATTTTATTTTGTTTTGAAAAAGTACAAAGCCTTCTTCATACTGGTTGATGAATACAAAATTTTAAATTTGAAGTGGCAATAAGCCTTATTGAATGAAATACATAGGGCGTCCCAAAAGTACCCGGACTGGTTCTGTAACTTCGAAACTAAGATAGATACAGACATGATCTTGGTCTCATTTTAAAGATCAACTCAATACCTATTGATTAAGACCAAGATCAGCTCAATCGGATAAAAATTGACCGAGTTTGACCGAGAAAAGGGCTATAAGGACATTTAAAAGGCTTCTACAGTTTTTTGCAATTTTCTCAAAATTAGAGGAAATGGACATTAGCGGTTTTCCCACGAAATGATTCAATTCAAGTTTAGTGGGTGTTCAGATGCATTCTTAAAGAATAAAATTTGTGCAAGTGATATTAATTGATGGGGTCAAGAGATATTACCTTTGATTTCGGAGAGAATGAATTCAGTACGTTTGTAAATTTCATCAGACTTAAGTTTGATATCCCACATATTATACAATAAATTTACAGCGGCTAAAGTAATTATCAGAGAGGCATCAGCAATAACAAAAAACCTGGAAAAATAAAAAAAAGCACTAAGTTCATGAGCAATTTCGTCACAAAAATGATTTGCTAAAGATAAAATTGAAAAGTTTTTTACATGCTGTTTTACTTATATGATATTAGGTAAGACAGTTGAAAAAAAGAGAAAAAACTACACTTCTATTTCAGTACTACCAACAATTTTCTTTCAGAGTACGTTTGTCTTATGACCTGAACTATGAAAACACTTCCTTTTTGTTTTGTTGAAGCTTACTTAAACTTTTTTCATTCAAGTTTGACGGAGCAATGTATCAATAAATATATGTACTATGATATTCATACCTGGGTGTAGGGTTGGTGACCCAAGTTGAAAGAATTAGAGAAATAAAACAGTAACAAATTATTAACAAGGAAGTCCATGGCACAGAACAGGAGACACTTCTGGGATTAGCAGCTTCCCAAAGTAGAGAATAGAAGCTTCTGAAATAATGAAAACAAAACAAATTCGATGATGGGATAAGGCAATAAATATAGTTATGCAACAGGGAGCTGAACAGTTTTATTGCAAAATAATACCAATGTTAGAGGAGCTAGTAAATCATTCTCACTTGACCTCTATGCAAAAAATCTCTGGAAGCAATTTACAGGCGTACCTCAATACAACATTTTCAAACGAGAATTGAAAGTAGAACATTGTCTTTTGGAAAACATTATTTTAGGAAAGACTGCAATAAGGTACAACTGGCCACATGTGCAACACAGTGGACATATGACAAATTTCCTATCTTAACTTATTGATAAGTGAGAGATAAATGTTTTCCAATAAGTCCATTCAAACTTTACACTTCCTGGGGAAAACTTGCTTATTGGAATCAAACTGGAGGCTTTGACTCATTTTGCTAACTTTTGTAACAAAATAAGTTTTTTCTAGGTGCTGGCTACCATTTGGCAAGTTTACATCTACGGTGTATCATAGAAGAACAGACAATTTTGTGAGGCAAAAATTTGATTATTTGTTGAAGGATAAGTTCAGTGTCAATGATTAATTAGGCTAACATAATTTACTTTTCCCTGTGAGTTTGAATTCCCTTATTCTAATATACACAATAAATCTAAAAGTCTCTTTTACATGTTGATCATAAATATTTTTAGTATTTTAACATGTTTTGCATAAGATTTCATGAGGAAACATGCTATGTGATGCTCAAATTTGCACCCTATTTAGTTTTCATTAAGTTATCATGATCAATAAAGTATCACCATTCTTCCAATAAACAACACTTACTCTTTCACTTGATTCAAGACAAGACATATGTTCGATGGTAATTTATTTAAGAAAAAATATAAAAAATTATGATACTCATGCTTAACCTTTTCTTTCTTTCTTTAGTTTTTAAGATGAGGAAATCCGCTATATCGTCATGAAGACGTTTAAGGCTCTCTTTAGTCGGTAAACCTTGAATTACTGGAAAGTCTCCCATCTTTCTGAAAATATAAAAATTAAGCTTATCAATATTAAATTCATGCAATTGGGTTTTAGTGCACTTGCAATTCGTGCATACTATCCCATATGGATAAATTGAACACTTCATTAACTAGCAAGAGAACGTTTCTTTTGCATGAGGGTTTTTCAGAGTTCATAGAGCTCCATTTGGTTTACCTCTTGATAAGGCCGCTGTTGGTTGTAAAAATGGAGTTTGCTAGGCTGTTCGTGTGATTATAAACTTGACAAAAGTAGGATTCCCGTTTGTTTGATCATTTGTTGAACTATCCTTTGAGCCACAAGAAAAATTGAATTCAATCTATGAATTGGCATATAATGTGAAAAGTGCCAAAAAGATTAATCACTTCAGATCTTCATACTCTCTTCCATTCTTAAGGAAAATACACACTGATAAAATTTTTTAAAAATGATGGGGTTCGCCAACTAAAATTCCTAACGGATTCTTCCAAATGATGCCATTATTAATAACCTGTGACACGAAAAATGTGATGGGGCGAATCTTCAGCACCTCGGCAATTCGATGAGTTGATCAATCAATAATTGATTATTTATGGATTTTAGGAAATTTCCCCAGAATTTCCATGCACCAAATAACGATGCAGGACATCAGATATAAGTACACACAATTTGACCAAGAAATAATTGGAAATAACCTCAAAAGTATATCGTGAATGAATATAGCAAATCATTTTACCTTTCAATCAGCAATATTCACTCAAGACAAAAATTCAAAGCTATTTCAAAGTGTTTCATGGTCAAATTTTGTGTAAAAATATCTGACATCCTCCAGCATGATGTGGTGCTAGAAAATTCTCAAAAAATGTTTCAAAATCCCAGTAATATTAATTGATTGAAGAACGATCAAACCATTCTCCAAAAAGCTGCGGAACCACCTTGAATTAACTGCCTGTAACAGCTTTCAATTCCTTAGACCACTTAAACAAGCAATAAAGGCAGGCGACAATGGATAATAATAAAGAAATTATCCTTTGTAATGACTATTACATATTTGAAAGACAGTACTTACTCTGTACATCGGATTTCATTTGGCAAGAACTGAGAGTTGAAAAATGTGGCTGCCAAGCAGTCAATGTGACACATTCCCATCTTTCAACATCTACTCATCAATGATTTAAGATGGGGGCACTGAATTTGAAATTCAATGTACAGCACATTTAAGTCTCCACAGACAAATAATGTTTTATAATGACCGTCAGTTATCAGTTCGTTGGACTGTTACAAGCACAGTTGAATCCGATTTTGAATCATCGATCATTTACCAATTATCCTCTGGATGATTTCAGGGAATGAAAGAAAGTGGCTTGGTCCCTCTAACTTCGAGGGAAAGAGAACATTTTTTAATGTGATCCAGCCGAAATGCAGAAAATTAGTGAGCTCATGGGCTCAATAAAGTTTATCCAGTCCCTACTGTTATCAGTCCCAACATTGTACATGCGTGGAAAAATGTGAATTTTACTTACATTGACTATCCGAGGCAATATCTAGAGCATCATGATTTACAAATTTGTGATAAAATGTGTTCTGGAAAAAATTTGAGTCCCGCAAAATGAGAGCATCGCAAGTTTTTACAACTATACGTTTCACTGTTACTGATACGGGAAATTAGGTTATGTATTTTTATAGTTCTTTCTGTTTGTTTTGAATTTGATTTTTGTCTAGTGTTGTCAAGTTGAACATACTTCTCCACTTTATGTTTTCACGTTGCCGCTTTGTAGAAGTTAATAGCGGGAAAATCAATTTAGGGGGGGGGGATAAAATGCGGGGTTTTTTTGCGTTCTGGCATTTTGTATGTGAAAACTGATATGGATCTCAAGCAGACTTCCCTGAAAAATGAAGCATTTACATCTGCATAAAGTCAAGGGCTTTTCAGCGTCAGAGCCCTTCCCCTAACTCTCAATTTTTTTTTTTTTTTTTGTGGGAGAGCAGAGAAAGTTTTGATTAGGTACACAGACTTTCCCTTTAATATTTTTGTCTCTCATTTTATTTAATGGGAATAGAGACTGCTGTAAAGCAGGTATATCATTGATGATGCAGTTGTACATGGCAAATNACCCTCCATAGCATGCTAATCTTAGCTCTATACTCCTTGGCCACCTTCCCTATATGTTCTTTCATTTTCAGGTCTTCTGATATCCATACCCCTAAATATTTCATCACCCTAACTCTTTCTAATTCGAAGTTCTCTATCATTATCCTACCCACCCATGTACCAGGCCCTACTTCAAATACCACCAGGCCCTACTTCAAATACCATGTTATTCAATACCATCAAATTCAATACCATCAAAATGGATTATTCTTACGAATATTTTCCTTCAAAATCTGCAATCCTGCTTTTTTGCTTGGACTTATCAACAATCGCCTTTCTGAAAAGTTTGTTTCCATACATCATGATCCTCTGAGGTCACTTTTATTGCCAAAATCAATTGGGAAACTCCCTCAGAGCATAGATTGTTAAATTTGAACTTAGAAAAAACGTACCTACTTAAACAAATTGTTATAATGTACCAGCGAGGTGATCCTCGGAGTTCTAGTGCAGTAAAATTTAATATGTCATCAAATTTTGTTAAATTTTAAAAATCACTCATAGTGATACTCAACGCAAAGTAAGCTACCAAATTTGCAACTTATGAACTAAGCTTTAAAGAAAAATTTTTGTTGAAATTTACTAAAATAAAGCGATGAAAGACTTCTTAAAGGGAAAGGTGGCATTTTCAAGTGATGAAGAACAAAAAGAGTTCCTAACTCGGATATATTACTTTGCAGTTGTGTTTAAATGTTTTCTCTTTGAAACTGTCAGGATTCTTCACTGCTTTCAGCGGCGAATTCTAATAGAGAAGAATTAGTTCCAGTTCAGTTCATTTCAATGGCATTAGGTGTAGAGTTGTCATTAGATCTAACAATTCTGAGCATCAAAGATGACAGGATTAAAGGTTTCGAAGGCATTCTCTTATGATTACATTTTCGGTCTTCCGAACTTCACAGTATCATAACCGAATCACTATATGTTAGAGCCTTCATAAGAATGTCTAAAAGGGCTCTAAATATTCTTCAATAAGGAACTACTATATTGATGGCCGAAGTACAAAACCACACATCTCTGTCTGCCAAGTTGCAGGCTCCCCATCATGATTTATTTTTCTTTGGAAAATAATCAACCTGCTTCCTAAAAACTTCCCTAATATTTTTCTCTGTTAGTAAAATAGTCTCTTAGTTTTTTGAGCCAATTGGTTGGCTCGGTTCTCTCTGAAAAATAAAGTGGGAGCAGAAATTTTGAACACCGCAACAGAGATACGTTGTTTAGCACTTTGGCCATCCCCATATACCTCAACAATGTATGTGCCAATAGTTTCCTTATGCAGATAAGTGCTTTAAAAGGAAAAGCCAGAGATAGTGGTTTCTTGTTTCAAAATTTAAGACACTCTTCCATCGAGTCTCCTCAATTTGGCGTTTACCATCTCTTTCCCTACAGACAGTTACTAATTAATAAGAAAGATGGTTAAAGTTTTCCATTGAGATGGTCATTTCATCCGGCGAACTTTTGAATACCATTGGCACAATTAAGAGAAAAGGGAAACACTGAAAAGAAAAAAAAGAGAGAAACACTAAAAATAACGGAGTTAAAATCGGATTTTATTAAAAAAGTAATTTGTTTTGTTCCTCATTCACACGAAGATAAGTTCCTTCACTAAACTCAGAAACCTTGTTTTTTCTTCTTCAAAATCGGAGGGCCGATGTATACATCATTTTTTCAATTATAAATTGCTATTTACTTTTGAGCCAAGGATAATCAGTGAAAATTCTCGGCAATACGGTACGATCAATTTCTTTCATAGAAACATAAAATAGACAAAGAAATGTTTGAAGACAGTAATTAAAACAGGGTTTCCAATTTTAGCCAACAAAAACTAGTTTAAGAAGAACAAATTTTCTAAAATAAAATACTATTGATTACATAACATTGATGGTTTCAAATCCCTCTGATTTTCCTGCACAAGGAAAAAAACCCAGTTTCAAGTAAAATAAAAAAGATTAAATGCATGAAACAAACAATAAAGTTGAGAAAAAGACAAAACATAAGACCAATGTTTGGAGGAAAGTATCACAAAAGCGGATTTTGACGACCACAAACCATCACCTTCCGGCCAAAGTATCACGAGCGTCACTTTGCCAACTTTTCAAGAGACACAAAGGCGACCGCCTCAGACGGAGTTTCGGCTTGAAACTTGAAATACCACTCCAGCAAAACTTCCTGGCTTGAATTTTAATAAAGGTTCTTTTGAAAAACATTTCTTTCTTTGAAAATTGGCACTTGTGGTGCCCTGTTCTTGGGGCATTCTGAGAAATCATGGCGCTTGTGATACAGGTGCCCATAAAATTTAACAGAGATTTTTTCCATATTTATTCATTTTTAGTTTGAAAAAAAAATTATTATATTCATAAGTAAATACATCTTATTAATTCAAAACCATCCATAACTAAGTTTCGATACAAATAGCGCTTGTGATACTCCGGCCAGAAACTCGAAAAGTGACGAATTGCTCCAGGTCATTACAGGTGTAACTTATACTGAAACTTCAAAAACAATTCTAAAGATGAGTAATTACCCAACTTGGTGCGCCATGTGAGAATATGGCGCTTGTGATACAAAAGTTCATCAGCTTCTACGGAGTATTTTCCATATTTATTTATTTTTATTGTAAAAACGAATCTTAGGTTCGAAAAAACGAGATGCATTTACATACGAAAATAATTTAGATACAAGTCATTCCAAGGGTCGCTGTAACAAAAATTGCAAACAATCAGAAAGGTGGGCGGTTGCCGAACCTGGCGCTTGTGATACTTATCTCCCAAATAGCGCTTGTAAAACGAAAGTACGTTAACCTTGATCGATTTTTACTCGTATTTCTACATTTTTGCTTTAAAAAAAGTATTATTTTCAAATGTAAATGCATCTTGTAAAATCGAAACTATTCATAACTCAATTTCGGTAAAAATGCCGCTTGTGATACTTTAGCCAGAAGGTGACAAAACAACGATGGTATCAATTTTTACTGCAAAAATTATTCTTTTTTTGAATTTTAAAGCATAAAAATTCATGCGAGTATTTTGCACCTGCGTGCGAACGAACAAATTTAGTACTTCATATAAAAGAAAAATTTTAGCAGGAATGAATAACTGCCTGAAAGGACACAAAATCTATGACCGAGAGACGTTAAACAAGCTATTAGGTGAGGTTTCTGGTGCTCAGAAGTAACAATTTACCTTCGCAGCAAATACTACTGCAAAAATAATACTTTTTTTAAGCATTGAACCATTATGATTAAATCTTAAAATGATGATGATGACATCAAATGCACTCAACTAAAAAAGATAAAATAACATAAAAAAATTAGAGGTCAGTTCAACATAAATTATCACTATGTACAGGAATCTTTTCAAATGTTTAAGTAACTCTGATTAGCAAAAAAGACGATGACTGGCGATATCAAAATAAAATCATCAACTGAGGAGTTGTAAAACGTACAAGTCCCTAGGTATTTAATAATTTTACATAGACACTTCCTGCCGCACCACTACCAAACAGGGAGCTCAACTTGATCCAACTTTGTTGATAAGTTCATCACAGATTTTCATGAGCTCTTGGTTCTCTTTGGTTTTTTGTTCTAAGGTTATTTCTAACGACGATACTCTTAATTCCGCTTTCTTCAGGAGGGCACGCAATTTTGCTGACTCCGCTTCTTGGGATTTCGTTCGCACATCCAACTCTTGGTTAGCTCTGAAATAATGTAATAATAACATAATTAAATAAATGTTGAAAACAAGGAATAAGTTATTACAGGGTGTCTAAGAAAATTTTCTTTCCCTCCTCCCCAGACTTGTCAAATTTTCTGTCACCAGTAGATTTCACCCTTGGATCCTTTGGAACACGTAAGTTTCAGGGTCATAATGTTCTTTGTACTAGTGTAAGAAAAAAAGGGCTAGAAAGTAAATTTTTTGGCTTTTTCAGGCACAGTTTTGTAGGTAAAACTATTGCAGCATCAGTGACTACAAGGGCCAGAGTAGTACTGGTGCTCTGTCATTAAAATTCCTCACATTTTCAGTACCTTTTCCTTGCTTTTTCCTTACTTTTCCAAAAATTCCTTTTCCCAAAATTCTTAATATTCCTTGCCTTTTCTTTACAAACTCCTTATCTCCCACGCATTTTTGGTGAGGTTTTAGTAAGGCACCGTTTGAACAAAAAAGAGGAATTAGGCCGGTTTCCAAAAAACCATAACCATTGCATTACAGGGCTCTGGCATAATTCAGCAATCTTCTCGAGGTGAATTTTCCCCCGCAATTGTTAGAACATAAAGGAATAGATGGGTACACAGTTCATGATTTCCTGATTTGGACCGCATTAAGCAGAGAGGAACCAGGCCACAATAGTTATTGCCAAGTTTAACTGGACTATTTAATTTTGAAGAAGAGAACATTTGTGCGGATTCTTTCGAGCGGTTTAAGGAATTTATTTCGTACTATGCAGAAAAATCACTGGAATTTGCGCAAAGTTTTCGTGTAAAAAATTAAATTGCCCAGTTAAACTTGGTAATAACTGATGTGGGCTAGTTTCTTTCTGCTTAACGTGCTCCATTTACTTAGGGTGGCAAATTCCTTAATGATACCTGGGGATTAAAGCCACTTTCTTCTGGATTGCTTTGCAGGAGCTGAATTGAGATTTTCAGCTCTATGCTGATTTTTAACGCATGTTGGCTACAAAATTCCAACTTACTGTCTATGCAACTCGGGCGTCTACCGCAATCAGTTTGTGAAAACTAAATTTTCTCTGGAATTTAAATTAAACCCTTGATTATTTTTTGCGTTTATCAGTTCAGTTTTAGGCTTTGCTTGGGTGCAAAATGCCGCACTCAAAAACAAACTTTAGCTGTGCATGGAAAAAGGGACTAACTTCCAAAAACCAACAAATCTTGTTCGTTTTAATTCCGAGGTCATTAGTTAATTTTTCCTGCTTTAGTGGCCCTGTTCTTTCATTAGTAGTCAAAATTTTAAAAGCCTCAGGGACGACTACTTGAAGTCCTTGAAGCTACATCGGAGGATAAGACGAGACAAAGCTCTTTATCTACAAAGCAATGTATAAATGGTTGATGTTTTGTTGATTAAACATAAAACTCAATAATCAGACTGTTTTAACCTACTCAGAGCACTCCATATGCTCCTCAAAATTCACCTGACATTAGATTCTAAGTTCTGGGATCAGATGCAATTGCATCATCCTCATGCCAAATTTATACTCAAATAATTTTACAGGCCAGGTTATTTGATCAAATTGAAAATGTAAATATAATAAATTTCCTTACTTTTCTAATTGGCTTTTGGCGTGCTGTTTCAACATTTCATACTTATTTTCTTGTTTCTTGATGGCAGCATCATACTCCTGAACACTGGCTTTGAGAACGTCTTCATTCTGTTTCAAACTTTCTATAACAGCTTTGCATCGCTCATATTTTCTGCAATAAGAACAGGGGAAATCATAAAAATTCTGAGACTTCAGCAGATTTTTAAACGATGTACATCCTTCCTAGTGCATGCCAAGAGAAGTGGCGAGTGAGCGTAAAACTGTCAAGCTCAGGAAACACGCAATATGATCCTTCACACCTTTTAGAATTTGCAAAATGGAATAGGAAAATTTGGTTGCCACTTGTACAGAACCGAAATTAAGATGCAAACTTAAACACATTTTAATGACACTTCCTTTTTTCAATCTTAATAGTTTACATATATGTTCATTATACATCATGCCATTAAATCGGTGAGAACACAAATACACCAACTCAGAAAAGTGATAATGTCCAATGAACAAAACAAGTTGCGCAGAGACTGAAAAAGTTGGTGCAGGAAAAGTCGTTTTGGCCTCAAAGGACAAGTACTTAATGAAGTACTCAATAAGTGCTTAAACTTAATGTTTATTGCAACTGCGTTACGTTGTGTAAAAAATTGTTTCCTTACACTCCGTGACAATCAAACGAAATAGGGATATTCAGCACTGTCTTGAGACAGGTAAGACTCTATGCTAAATCAAATACAGCTCCTGTTGTCATGTTCTCCTAAGGATAATACCTTTTAACATACTGTAATCATACGCTAAAGAGTTTAGAATTAACTTACTGATGCACATCGTTGAACGCTATTTCTAAATTATTCAAATGCTGTGCAGCGGTGTCCCTCTCATTTTCCACTGCTTTCAATCTGCTGTCAAACCCTTCTTTATGACTGACCATTTGTGTGATTGTTTTCTCATATTCAACCACGATTGCACTGAAAAAAAAAGAAACACAAACTCGAACATGATTATCTTTTCCTGGAATTTTCAAACTCAAGACTTGAAGTACAAGGCATTACCAGCTTAACTTGCTGTGTAATTTGATGCACTTTTACAAAGGATCAACTTTGACATCTGCGATGAAGCATATAGGGAAGATTTCTGCAAAATTAGGCTCAAGGAAAATTCAAAAATTGATTCTATGGCAGCAATTCAGTGTAGAAGGATGAGAAAGGGGGGATTTGAGATATATGTTGATGAAGTTTGCTAGCGTTGCTGCCACTCTATGAAAAAATTCAGTTCAGATAGTAAATTCAGAAAATTTTGATCTTTGAGACTTGGCTGAAAAAGAATGGGTTTGATGAAAGTACTTTTGAGATAAAGAATGGTAAAATAATAAGAATGAAAAAAATAAGATCATGACAAAGACTATTGTGCACATTCATTTACTGAGTGAGAAGATGTCAAGTCTCACCAACAGTATTCAATTTAAATTTGATCTCAAGGAAAATCACTTTCGTTACAGTTTGAAAGGACAGAAATTTACGATTTAAGACAACTTACTTCATCTGTTCTTTACTCCTTGCCATTCCTTGCATTTCTTTATTTTTTTCGCTAATTTCTTTCTCGAGTTTTGCTTCATTTTTTTCCAATTTCTTTATTTTTTCCTGAAAAAAAAAAAAGAAATAAACATGGAATGTTGAAACCAAAACTAGAAACTTCTGACAAAATATTATCATTTCCTTCAAAATGCTGTCCTTAATGTTCAATTACTTTTTAAGAACGGTATATGTAACAATCCACCATTGGCAGATACTTTTCCTTAATTAAACCTATTATATGTAAAATGTCCATATTTTATTTCACAGCCTGGCAAACTGGGACGATCCACAAGAAAAGAGAGCTTTTGATCTACCAAACTCTGAAATGAATTATTAATACCAGAGAGTAGAAGAGTATGCATCAAACATTTTGAGACTAGATAAGTTATGTCAATCCACAGTAACAGCAATTTGAAGTTAGCAGTTCAAAAAACATCATTTCCAGAAAAAGCCACTTGAAATTCTCATCGAAAATTTAAAAATTATTCACTTGAACAGAGGTATTTTATTATTATTACATTATTACACGCAAGTGAGTAATCTTTAAATCATGTAATTTCTTGTGCGGCCTCCACATGATAATTAACTTTCATTGTTATTCGTATTTAAAATTCTAGTCTATCATGGTAAAGGTGCCATATTGCCAGATTAGAGTGCAATTCTACCAGGATTTTCGAAGTTCCTTCATTTTCTGATTCTCTGACTTTCCTTGACATTCAAGCAACACTCCCACTTATATTTATTTGTGTTTTTCCTGAAGGCAAATACACTTTTGTTCCTCTTTTAAGTACACTGACTTTTACTAGACTATGAACAAAATCTCCACTTTTACAGGTTAAAGTTAAGATGAAAGACACTTAAAGATTGTTGGCTCTTTCTAGAATGGCACCGGCTGAGATTGCCATGCTGACACTTCTCATGAAATTCTCTAACTTTCCAGGTTTTCTGGGCCCATGAAAAAAAGAGGGAAGTTCTTAAACTCCTCCGATATTGATTTGCAGTCGCCCGCCCCTGAGATTATCAACAATTGGACGATCAGACCGCTCCAAACTTGCAGAGAGAAGCCACAATTTCACTAGGGCTAATGCACACATTCTAATGGGATATCTTGCGAAATATTTTATATCTTACAAAAATACTCAAAATTTCGAACATTGGTTTATATAGTACATACGAGAACTTCAGTTTAAGGTGTAAGTTTGAATCTAAAATCTGAAAAATATTAAACATCTAATATTCAAGATTTTCAAATATTTACCCTGACTTGTCCCAAACCAATTGTACTGTTGGCATGGCAAATCTGATTAGATCTGAGAGAAAACGCAAGTCGGCTGAATTTCTAACTAGTTGGCAATATATCTCATCAAGAAACCTCTGAATTGTAAAAATATCATAATTGAAAACTATCCATTAGAAATATTTTTAAAATGTTAATAGATTTTAGCAAGCACTTATTGGATAAATTAAAGTCCCAAAGTTTCTGTTCAATTTTTTTTAAAACAAGCTTACTTTGTATTCCTTTTCTTGTTGAACTAAAAGTTCGCGCAGTTTAGCCAAATCCGCTTCTAACGCTGAGGAATCAACTCCGGGTACACTTGGCGAGGCTTCCTGCAAATAGAAAAGTAAAAGAGTTCATTAGACACTTCCCAATAAGGCAGCAAGAAACAGGAATTGCACAGCAAAATGGGTGAATCATTCCATACAAAGATTGTAATGTAGTGTTTGAATCCAAGACAAACCAGTATTTTAGCTGAGTTTGCTACTGTGCCAATATTTATTTACCTTCAAGGAGAAATAGTAGTGGTTTAAATGATTTAATATAAGAAGAAAAATAATTATATTGAAAAAATCCTCAGCTTTGAAATTAGATGTGATAATACAACTTACTATCAGTTTCCCAACAGCCTCTAGAGCTGGATTTTTCAGGGGCGTCCTGACTGGACTCAGACTTTTCTTCGATTGGGATTTTTGAATTTCTTCACCACTGAAATGAGACATAAAATGATTAGAAGCTACAATGCAGAAACAAGCCTTTGAAATTAGATAAAGATCAACATTATTTGGACACTTCTACGGCAGTAAGTGTTGGTATTAAGCTCGATAGGGTGCACAAATATAAAAGTGAGTGCGATCATGAAATACCCACCACAAACTACAATCAGATGGGTTTTTTCTGTTTATCCTCCCCCGATGTAGACAGTCCAACAACAATAGAGGCGATGCCTCAAACTCTGGTACTCATTGGCAAAAAGAGAGGCAAGGGAAGTTTCTTGTCTCCTCTGATTCGGATCTTCAATCGCCCACCCCTGCGATTATTTATGGTTGGGCAATTAGACTGCTCTCAACCCGCTAAATACATCACTATCTCACTATCACATACGCATGCATTCTAACGAAATATCTCACAAGACATTCAAATTACCTACATTAGGTCAAATAGGTTCAAAAATTCTAGGTTTCATGGCTCGAGTTAGAATCCAGAGACCAGAAAAAATATTCTAACTCAAATATTTGCCCAGCCCTAAATAATTCAAAGGAGGGGTATCAATTGAGGACGTTTTTGAGCTACCCTAAATTTCCTTATAAATACAATTCTTTGCTCATTGAAGGCCTATATTTAACAGAATGCATAGTGATTTGGTCATTTTTAGTCTCTTTTTGGGCCAAATGATGGTCTAAATATGGGTGTTAGGGCAAATTTTGACGAAAAATGTAGGTTGTACAGCTTTGCCGCCGAATGCCGAAAAACCAGCATTTTTCGTTATAATCGGCCCTCTGACTCAATTTCAGGCCAGTGTGAGACTCAAAAAGAGACCAAAAATTACCAGATCATGATACATTCTCTAAAAAACAGATCTTCAATAAGCAAATAATCATATAGTTCAGGAAATGCAAGGTGGGCCTTAAGACGGCTCTCATCGATAACCCTCCTTTTGTTTAAAATGTTTTAAAACAAATTATTGACGAACTTGCGATGTATCATTCCTTTAGCGGCAGATGCGTTTTGAGCCAAGTGCGGAGCTCGAAACGCATCTGCCGCCAAACGAGAAATATGTCGCAAGTGAGTCAATAATTGTTTTAAAGCATTTTAAGTACAAGACTTGTGCGGAAAAAGCTTCCTCCTTTTGCTGTTTAAGCTTAAACAGTCAATTCTTTAAAAATTAATTCATGAATTCAAAAAGAGACTTGATTTCGAAAATGTGGTCGTTTCAACTCCCTTCGATCACAAGGCCGATTAGGGCATGCAGTTGGTGAGTATTAAAATATTGAAGAGTAGAGCCAGAGAGTCTGTTAACTTTCACAGCAAAATTTTTTGACTTCTCAAGATTTGCCTGAGGGGGGGGGGGGAGAAAAATGTTATATAATTCCCTGACTGATATATTTTGTGAAAGTTTCACTGCGTACCCTCATGGTAGATTCGTGTATTCAAACTTACCAATTATTATCGGCCATTTTTAAAGATGCGGTTAAATGTCTCTCTATTTGAGTTGGAGATTGAGCGTTGACTAATGGATCAAATCGTACGAACAAGGACTTCTTGTACAAATTAGAACTGATGTTATTGTTACCCCTCTGTACAAGAAAATCAAATGATGCAGGATCACAGAAAACTGGAAAAAGAAAATGGACCATGAAACAAGGGCAATCGAATCAGATAAATTTTAAAGGTTTTAAAAATCTTCATTGGATTTTCCAAAAATTAGCATTAAGGTACGAACAAAAACACAGCAATCAAAGTTCTCGGGAGTCATGAGTATCAAATTACATCTTCGCCAAAATATACTATTTTATAAACAGGGGTGCACATTTTACTATGCTTCCACAATTTCGTGCCATAAGCTTTTCCTCTTCCACAAAATTTTTTTAAAAAATTTCCACAATTTTGTGACTCCTTCCACAAAAAGTGATGACTTTTTTTTTTTTTTTTGGGGGGTAAAAAATATGAGATTCAAAGTGCAGAGCGAGGAAAGAAACGAAAAGAAAGAAAGAAAAATAAATTTCCACAAAATTTGGGACGCTTCCACATTTTCACGCGATAATTTATCGCGTGATTGCGCTTCCAAAAATCGGGAAGGCCTTCCACAATTTCACGCGATAATTTATCGCGTGATCAAGTACATTGTACACCCCTGTATTTTACTTACAAAAGTGCAAATATCTTCAACAGCTTGTGAGGAAAGAAGCAGATTTTGGACTTTGTCAATGCACTAATTGTGATTTTTGAGCCATTTTCCATATAAAAAAACCCTTGTTTTTCCTCTAGCCAAGGCCTGCTGTAGATTCGATTTTACAATAGAAATTGCAGGTTTTGATGGTTAAACGAAAATTGTATACTTCATTGATCATGGTGTCCATTGAAATTTAATAGGTTACTCTTTCAGCTTTGATGAAATTTTTGCTTCAGACTACCTAAATATGATGCCAATAAAGCAGCTTTCAGCAAAAAAGAACAGACTTCCAAGAACAACAGAGGAACTGTTCGTGGAAAGGGACTCACCAGTAGTGCTTGTGAGGAAAAGTTTGAATAACAAATATTAATTTAAATGAATCATGAACTTTTTTTTCTAATTTAGATCAAAATAATAGAATTTTGTTGCGTTGTGAACTTACTTTCTTCTGCTGCTGTGGCTGGACCAGCTTCACTGTTCCAGCTTGCACTGAATTCGTCTGGTTCCGCTAACGTATCTAAGAATGTCTCCTGTTTCTCCGAATCCAAAGAAAGTCGATCACTTTCAGCTGACTTTTTTTTGGACGCTTTGAACAATTCTAGGGATCGAACCGTCTCAGGGTCTAAATCAAGGGATTGTTCGAACAGTCCGGCTTTTGCGCTTCCTGAGTTTTCAGTAGGCTGAACTGTTTCAGTTTTCGGTTGACTGATACTTGTTTGCTGCGCCCCTGACTGAGCTAAATCTTTCTGTGCATCATTGATTTTTTCTGATTTTGAAGGACTAGTTTGCTTAATTGGGCATGAGCGCAATTCTTGCAGTTTATTGATTACTTCTGCGTGAGAGGAATCTTCTACCTTTTCACGGCCAAGTTTTTTGTCATCACTAGTAAGTTCTGTGCTGTTTCGCTCAGAGGATTGCTTCAGTTGGTCGATATGTACTTCAAACTGGGTACCTTTTTCAGGTGGAGAAACTCGGCATGATTCTGGTGGGCTTGTGTACTTTTCAGGTTTCTTATCTCTATCTTCACCTTCCTTTTCAGCAACCTGTTCTAAATTATTCAGAGGGCACTTTTCGGCCTGTTCAAGGGCAGTAATTCTTTGTTTAGGAGGGCTATTACCATTTCCTAGTTCTGAGAATTTCTCATCTCTTACTTTGGGTGATTCTTTGGGAGCAATAGTCTCCTCAGGCTGTTGCGTTACTTGCTCGGACTCTCTTACTTGTTTTGAATCACCAGTTGGGTCTCTGGCTGAAGTGTTATGCTCTTCTGATGAGCGACTACGATTTTCTGGATTTATGTATTGAGCTGGTTTGACAGAATGCGTAGCTGCTTGCTCTGATTCCACTGAAAGCCCTGATGAACTGACACAATTTTCTGACTGAGTATTTTCGACGTGGAGTTTTGGAGACGGTTCAAATTGGCTTGTTGGTTCCTCTTGCAACAAGGACGGTGAAACAATTTCTTCTCCAGGGGAATTTTGCGGCACGTTAAGCTTAGAAATATCCTTGCTGCGGTTTAGGTCACATGTATCTAATTCTTTCTGAACTTTGTAACTCCCTTCAGAGAGATCTGAGCTTATAGCATCATCTACTTGATTTTCTGTATCGGTAGATGACTTGGCAGAGAGGTATTTGTTACCAGATGTTGACTCTTCCTTTTCCACAGAGGGTACTTCAGAATTGGTGTAGAAAGTGTCTTCTCCCTCTGACTCAGGCTGTTCTTCCTCTATGGCGCTGAGATTTGCCTGAAAACACACCTCAAACTCTTCTTCGTCTGGAGGGTTTTCTCTCTCTTCGTTAGCAATCAAGATTGGAGTCTTTTCACCAACATTATCATTCAACAGAGACGTTTCTCTGAGTGGTGTTACTTCTTCGATACGCTGAATTGGAGTTCTGTCAACATTTGAACTAGCAGAAGGTGACTCCGAACATGGAGTTTTCAAGCCGTTGCTGATCTCTATGCCTGACACACTCAGACTACTCTCAGACTCATCAAAGTTTTGGGCAGACTTGTACGAGGAGTTACCACTTTCAGATCCGGTGAAGAATGTATTGGCAGAGCTGAATGGATTTTTTTTCGGAGGACATGGAGTGCCTAAGTGCAAATTGTTCAGCTGATCCGCGAGACACGTAAGATTCAAGTTCCTATTTGGATTGGAGAAACTAGAATCCTCTTCCTCATACTCATACGTGGTATCTGAAAAAAAAGAGATAAAACTAATATGAGAAAACAAACTTTCACAAAAACATGGATTTTCCTTGGATCTGAAACACTGATTTTCAGGTGCTGCTCTGATAGTTGTACACATTTCTGCCGATGACAACAAAAAGCCATAAACCCTTTCAAGGTTCCCTGATTTTTCCTTTATTACAAAAACAAGATAAGCCGACATCATTCATCGTTAAAATGATCAGAATGACTAACATTCATTCATATGAATTTATACCACTCATTGACAAATTTTCTGAGGAGTGGAATTGCTTTTTGACGAGAGGATGATTATAAAAGAATTCTGAATGCATTCATTTGAATAAATTTGATATTACGTCTTGAGGTAGTCTCGGAAAAAGTTAGGTAAAATTTTGAACAGTTCAAGTTTTTGAAATAAAAAAAAGAGAAAGGAGCAAGAATTAAGAGTTAAAGGAACTTACTAAGACTATGATTCAGTACGGTAGGTCCTCCTGGCCTCAAGTTCTCTCCAATTGAAACTCTGAAAAATGCAATATGCAAAAAAAATTAGGGATAAAAATTGCATGCAAATCTGGAAAAAAAGTTTAAGGATTAGCTGGTGCATCGATCAGTTCAGAAAAGTTGAGGAATAGTATGCTATAGATCATGCACTGAAATCGTTACTTTTCTCTGCAGTTCAATTCATAACAGAGTTCATAGCATTTTCAATAGCAGAAAATGCAAGAGCCTTTGCTTGTGCACAACTAGAGGAAGTTCATGAGTTTGAGACAAATACACATTTTCCCCCCTTTTCAAAGAATAAAAATGGAAAAGTATAGAAAAATGAACTGATTTTTGGAATTTTGTGACTCTAAGATTTAAATTTGAAATATTTTTAGTTGATTTAGAACAACTGTTCATGTAAATAATGGTAAATACAAAAAATAAAAATTTTGGAAGTCGACGGCCAAAGTGGGAATTGGCAAACATTAAGAACATTGAAATTCTTTTAAAGATTATCTGTGAATTTTCTTCATTTACTGAGAAATATTACTTGATAGTAAATGGGACAATTTATTTGAAAAAACTTAATCTGATAGGAGATTTTATTTAAACATTGCAGTGAGGATGCATATTTTATTTACTTCAGCTATCCATGTAGCCTATCAAAAATAACATGACAGATAGATTCCTTGATCTAAACTGGGCCTTCCTTCCTGATGATGGAAAGATGTTACTGCTAAAAATAATGAAAATTTTGTTTGAAAATGGAGAACTTGATAATGTACTTACCCTGAAATTAAATGATCTGCACTAATGCCGGACGTTGAACCCTGGAACAAAAAATCAACAGTCATTAGGATGTATGATGATTAGTTCCTAAAAATTAAAGACATACGAAATTATTAATTTGACGAAAACGCTACTAAACTATTAGTCACCGTATTTCGCAAATACGTTTTCTGAAAAACTGAACAATAACTAAAGGATTGCATCCACTCCTTCATTGGCTATTTTCAACAACATTCTGAGACAGAAATTTAAGTGGGGATACAAGCAAAATCATTTCATTTGTAGCACCTCAAAAACGGTAGTGTTCTCTGGACATGGCTGCTTTTAAAAAAATTACAAGGAATTAAGTCATTAATTTCATTTCCAGCCGGCCATAATTCAGCAGAACAGCCTATGGTAGCCGGACAGTCGAAATACTTTATCAAGCTTGCAATATAACAATGAGAAAGGATTTCACAGATAGAAATATGAGGTGCGCTTGCGCAATAAACAATGGGATATACATGTGCTACTAAGTCAGACATAGGCCTTTTAGTTTTGAAATTTTTCACATTTTAGTTTGAAATGATAAACACTCTTGGATTCTTAAATTGTACCCAAAACAACAAGATCCCATGGCAGTTGTGGATCATCACAATCACTTAAACAATCATTATCAAGTAGAATGATGAATGATTAATATCAGAGGAAATGCAAAAGACAGGATTTTATGAGAAAAAAAGCTTGTAACTACTAACTGAATGAACCGTGCTCCGCAAAAGATCATCTTAAAAGAAGATTTGAGCCAAGATATCTACTTAAAACAATGACACAATGATCTCTAAGACTAAGACTGATAGAGCTGAATAACATTATTCACTAAATTTAGGACATGATATTGACATGGATGTTAGGACTTAGGAGTAAACTTGTTTACCTTTGGCTGCCTCTAATAGGGAAACCATAAATGAACAGCTTAGTAATCACCGAGGACCATATGTCCAAATAGGAATGATAACAATCACCGATAACATCAGTTGATGCAAAATTTGGCAGAGGGACAAAACGACGAAGAAATGCACGGTTAACAAGCATCAGATGATGCGTAATACCGCAAATTTTCACCATAGACAGGAGAATTTTGAAAGGATTTGGAATCCAAGGTGGCAGAATTTGCAAGGTGGGTGTTATTTTCTTCCTTTCCCCTCTCATCCCCGTCACCTTCTTGCATCGATGAATCACCCCACCGTGCCCCACCCGTTTTATCGGTCCGTATCCGTTAGTTCCTATGTTGCATTGGAGGAACACCCACGAGGAATGAACCAGCGTTCCTGGCGTTGGTAAAGGCGGTAAATTCAAAATGCAAAAGGTTTCCACCAGAAAAGATTTCTGATATTTTTTTCCCTTTTTTTATAAGAGGCGTTTGACTTCTTATCAGTATGCTGATGACTAGGGATTATCGGATTTTGTTGGGCAAAAGGAATCGAGTCACTTTATGGGAAAAACTTAGTCCCAAGCATGATTCATTGGAAAAATTTTCCTGCCAGAAATTCAAAGTAGATTAGAAACATTCTGATTATGGATGAGGTTTCATGTTTAACACTGACACTGAGTCTTAAGGAGGAATAGAACCTTAGACCTCTTTCCCTCAGTGTTGGAAAAAACAAGTGTCCAGTAGAAACTAGTAAGAACCTTTTATTCACCATTCTTACTATAAACGGGAAACTGGTGAGGAGGAGAAAGATCCTAGTCCTAGACCAGAGCTTACAAACTGATAAGAGTAGGGAGACTACATTCTGAAGGTGGTAAGGTAAGGATGAACAAACACTCAGTTGGCAAATGGGATTAGCCAATGGCTATTTTGAAGAAGGGGGGGGGGGAAGTTCCACCCTAATACGGCTTGCTTTCTTTTTGNCTGCCAGAAATTCAAAGTAGATTAGAAACATTCTGATTGTGGATGAGGTTTCATGTTTAACACTGACACTGAGTCTTAAGGAGGAATAGAACCTTAGACCTCTTTCCCTCAGTGTTGGAAAAAACAAGTGTCCAGTAGAAACTTGTAAGAACCTTTTATTCACCATTCTTACTATAAACGGGAAACTGGTGAGGAGGAGAAAGATCCTAGTCCTAGACCAGAGCTTACAAACTGATAAGAGTAGGGAGACTACATTCTGAAGGTGGTAAGGTAAGGATGAACAAACACTCAGTTGGCAAATGGGATTAGCCAATGGCTATTTTGAAGAAGGGGGGGGGGGAAGTTCCACCCTAATACGGCTTGCTTTCTTTTTGCTAAACTTCCTCTGACTGACTATAAAACAGGAAAAGAAAAGAACTGGAGGAAGGGGGGGGGGAGAGGGCCCAAATGATTAAGAATGACAAGAAGGTACAGGGATTATTGGGTGCTAGACCTCCGGGAGGCAAGTTATGGAAACTGGATAGAAGATTTCAAAAGAGACAATCCCCCCCCTCTCCTTATTTGCTTTTGTCAATGAACAAAACTGAACAAAAAAAGAGGGAGAAAAAAAGCATTTTTTACGAAATTTGGGGGCAGCAAATTCTTAACATCCCTGTGTCGCGAAGTCAAAAATCTACCCCTAATTACCTACGCTTCATTTCAGATGAGAGTGAAATACAAGATTCGGTGGCTCAATTTTAGTTTCTCATAAAAAATTAAACTTGCGTATCTCCTACTGGCACTCAAAGAGTCACCTATCAATGAAATTCCAACCTATAGTTACACTGCAGCGACAATACAAACAGACAACAAGAAGTTCTGTGGAGCCTTTCCTTAATGAGGTAAGCGCATTCTAACAGGTTTGTCCATGTTTGCTCTAATCGGGATCTGTGGCCTGATTTCTGAAATTCTATGTTGTCCCGTTAACAAGACAAGGTAAAGTGAAACGGAGCTAAATGATTGGTCATCTACACGGTTGGGGTGAACAAAGAGGGTGGCTCATGGGGCCGAGTGATAGACTGGCTAAAGACATCTCCTTGCTGGCCAGTAACCAGTGAATTACTTACCACATTGGCGACCGATCACACAAATCCGTTTCACAGTCTTGTTTACCGGACAAACACACAATTTCAGGCTGCTTATAGATTCAGCCAAGGAAATGAAGCACGGATAAAATGAGAAAACCAAATGACAGAAGTTGCACGAAGAATCAGCTTAAGAACTTGCTTCTCAAATTTACATCATGCAACATTATATAAAGTACAATTTGTGCAAAAGACGATGTGTTCAATCAAAAGATATTGCTCAATTTGAACCTGCCATGCTCCTGAAAGAAGCACTGGATGAATGTTGCCTATGCTAGATGAGATAAGATAACAACTCTCTTGTCAATAGGTAATTTAGATTACTTACTGACAGTAAAAGTGGGCAACACCTTCATTGATCCTTAAATAATACAAAGTTAAGCGAGCATCCATACAGAGAAATTACAAAAGAAAACTTATGAAAAATATTCAGACATTGCGAAGTTGCTGAGCCTACAAACAAAAGCCAAAAGCATAGTTCAACCTACATTGCTAGGCCAGATAAATGACTAGAGCCTCGAAAACCAGTTAACATTATGGTCAATCTTGATGGAAGGATTTGAACACCACCATCGGTAATTAGAAAAATAAAAGGCTAACAAATCTTCCACATTACAAGAGTTTTCTTTTGAAAGTTTCAGATCAACCTACGTGCCTATCTCATCTCATGGGAGCATGGAGCAGAACATTCGGAGGTAACTTAATTTAATTTGGAGCGATGATCCAATTAGTACGAGGAGAAACTGGGACAAATATTCTTGAACCTGATGCAATCCAACAACTGATTTTCAGGAGGGTGTGGAGAGCAAATACATGATCAAAATTAAAAGGCACAAAAGTGCAGAAAACCTTCTGCCTGCACCTGAAATAAGTGACCATTAGCACATGAGAGGTTGAAACCTGCATCAGAGATTTCTAGATAAAATGGGTACAGAACTTCAGAAGCTCATGGCTAGAGATATTTAGTCATGGCAAAAGGACTTACCATTGTTTTTATTTCCACAAATATTTAGGAACAAGTAAATTAAAAGTAAAACAACGACATTGAAGTATTTTTAAACCGTTACAAAACAAAACTCACAGCTGCAGCACATTGCCGAAAAACTTTTGAAATTGTAGTTCGCGGAGACGACGTGCACGTGAGACAGCGCTGTATGCGTTGATTTTATCGAATGTTGCCACATTTACCCCATTGTGCCGCGAAATTTAAATTTGCGATTGTTCAGAAGTACCGATCGAAAATGGTATATAAAATTTTCGTGAAAACTAAAAATTCAACATTCACTTTTTCAGGATTTTCTCTACTGGTAAAAGTTTCGAAATACCTGACTTTCCCTGACCTTCAAACAAAACTTCCACTGAGAATTTTCCCCTATATTTTCACGGACTTCTGCTAAACTCAGCTTGTGGAATTCCTTGATTTTTCATATGATTTTCCTGACTTTCCAGTTTTCTCAGATCGCCGTAAACCAAGAGACTATGCGCTAGTGTTGGTGGCACCTAGCTTTTTAAAGAGCATGTTTTCTTTGATGCTTGAAGCGAAATGCCTTGTGTAACTCACTTCTCAATTTTTTTGGGACCTTATTAGTTAGCCTGTTACAGATGATGAGACTTCGCCCCTAACTTGAATTTTTTTCAAACTTTCAAAGAAAACAAATTAAGCATTGGTTTTAAAAATAATAGAGTGGATAAATTTGGCATGACTGAACGGCTGACTATCTTCTCCACACAAAGTACATTTGTGGTAATTTTTCCGATTATCGTTTCTGCACAAATAATTTTCTGCAGTAGGTGGCAACGTCGAGGAAAATATGAGGCACATTTAAGAAAAATGAAAGAACACAGTATTTCACATTCTTATGAACTAGCATATTTTTATCCCGGTTGCTTTCAATTATCTTAAAATTTTCGGGCATGATATCGATTTAAGACACGCATTAAAAATGCATACCAAATATTACGATTAAAATATAAATCTTGAAACATGCGCGATTAAATAAATTTACTGAAGTTAATGTAGATGTAATGTTGAGTAGATGTTGCCAAATGTTTGAGATCTGATTTGTGCAGGAACGACAATCGAAAAAATTACCACAAATGTAGGTATAGTGCGGAAAAGATATTCCTTCTGCCAACAGAACAAATGGTTTGATCTGGTCATGATTAAAAATTAATGAAAGCTTCGTTATGATTGAGATATTGGGTCAAATGTTCAAAAATAGGCAACGATTCACAACAGAAATGAAGAAGGAAATACATTTTTAAATAAAATATTATTCTATATTTCAATTCTATTTACAAGATATTTACAAAAAAATACTAACGGGTACCATCAGGTTGTTATTTCTTCTTGTCAGTTTGGACTTGATGAAAGATTTTCTTCTGCAATTTTAGGTAATTATCACATATCTACTTATTAGAATCTAAATAATCTTTTGCTTCATTTATTTTTGCAGCAATATAGGGGGAGCCACCTCTGTCTGGATGATTTAGGGACATAATCCGTTTATGAGCTTCCTGAAATCAAATGTAAATTAATTTTATTAATAACAAAAATTGTAAGCCACTTTCTAATCGTTTATAAAATGAACCACATTCAACAGTTAGGATTAATACTGACCTATCTTTGGGTTTAACTGAGGTCAAACTAGCACTTAATGTATGGCATTCATAGAGAGAGATTATTGTTTCTCAGTGAAAAGAAACATTGGCATAATAAAATTACCTGTTCAAAGACAGGTTTTGTCTACAAAAAAGAGAGTTGGACTTGAAAGTGAAATTATTGCTATGCATTACAATCCTTTAAATGATTTTGAGTTGGTTGTTCTGAATTTCGTCACTTTATAATAAGTGTAAAAATTTCTGAGACTCATAAGCCCACAAGAAATTATTTTAAGGAATTTAAATTGTTTTATCTACCTACCTGCTATTTTCATATCCCCTTCTTGTGGCGCATGAAGGGATAATTATTTACGAAAATTTTCAGTTGTTTTTGACTGTCGTGTCCCATTCATAGTATTGTCCCTTATGACATAATCGATTACTTGCTCATACAGGAATATTTTCTGATATTATTTGTTATTTCGTGAATCGATATCCAACATCATCAACTTGTAATGAGTGAATGAACGAACCAAAGCAATGTAAAATTATAACTTATTTTATTGCTGAAGACTTTGCGACTCGAAAGTCATCATCAGAGTATAATTAAATGTGTCATATTATAAAAATAAGTTGCATAACAAATTTTTTAGCACTGAATAATCCTTATACACTGTAACTATTATCAAGAAGACCAGTTCCATGGTAGTTACTGTGAATTATGATTATTCAGTGTTAAAAAATGTGTTATTAACCCTTTCCGGTCCGCAGCAGTTTTCCACGGCCGCGAGAAGCGAGGTTAAGGTAGCAGCGATGTTATCAACAAAGACAGTGGTTTCCAAAGGGTCCACCAGAGGCCGCCACTTGCTGGAGCAGTTGAATATACCCGACATCAGGCCTGCACAGAGGTTAAAACTTTAGGGCGACTATATCCGACATCGGACCTAAACGCGTTATTTTTCACGGCGAATATATCCGACATTGGACCGGAAAGGGTTAATTTCGTTTTTATAATATGACGTTTGTAATTGGATTGCACTTTGCAAAAAGACACCAAGAGCATTCAAATGATGCTCATATTCTGCAACTTTTTTTACCTTGCAAATATAAACTGATCATCTAAACAAGTTTTATCCTTATTCCTAATTAACTATGAATTCAAGACGAAAATTACCTTCGTAAATTTTATTTTTTTTTTTTTTTTGCCTGATTTCAATAATTTTTTTGCAAAGAATGTAAGTTGCACAATCCTAGCAACATTGGAATCCTCCTGGTTCTTTTTTGCAAAATGCAATCCAATTATGCTTTGATGATGACTATCAAGTCAAAAAATCTTTAGCAATAAAATAGGTTATTTTACATCGCTTTGGTTTATTCAATTACTCACTTGTTATTTCCAGTTATTCCTTCCTATTATTGACTGTTTTTGACTATTTCCCAAGGCAGATAAAGAATGGTGGTCACATTTCGTACCCTCTGGACGTCACACGGTATCAGGTACATCGGGTACATGGGCCGGCCGAGGCCGGGGGAGCCGGCTCAACCTCGAATTGCATGGCAAAAGCCATACCCTCCTGACGTCACAGTGCTTCAAGATGGCAGCCAAAATCGAAATGCGACCACCATTCTTTATCCGCCTTGACTATTTCTTTCTTTTCTTTGCCAACCTTCATGAATGTTAGGTCTTTGACAGTCAAACAGATACTTTTAAAGAGATCAGTTTTCAAAAATGGCTGAGGAAAAAAAGTCAGGAGAAAAAGTTGGCACCATACCTTGACTTTAGATTTGCTTGAGGTAGGCGATACACCCAAGATCAGACTGGCTTCTCTTTTACTCATTTTTGGCTCGAAGCCTCCTTTGTAGTATCGGTTGGAATATGTCTGAAAGCATAAACAATTTGGAACATTTGATCAGACTTCAATCAATAAAATGTACCATTCAGTTACTTACCTACCTTCAGTAAGTTCTGCATCATGGAAGTGGAAATTCAAGAAGACCTTATCTTTACAGAGGACAAAAAAATTTTTAGGTAGAGGGGTTTTAATTAAGGGAAAAGATGTACCAAACTGCTCTCTCTGACAAAGAGTGGAGTACCTACATTTTTTATTCTTCAATATTCTTGAAATGAATTTAGATAGGGAAGCTCTGAGATGTAAGTCAAAACTTTTCCATGACTGGGAAAAATTGGAAAAACGCCGTCATTGGGTGATGGAGCTCTTGCAGGCTAAGAGGATTTCCGATTGCAATACAATAACCTTGGCAAATTTTTGCGAGAAACAAGATACAACTACATGATGAGTCCTTTAACTTGAGACCTCTATGACAATATTTTCCAGTTAGGGACCACAATGCCTGGCTTATTTCCAAAAGAAAATATGGACAACATTTTGCAATTAGGAATGACAATTTCTGGCTCAGTATAGAAACAACGTATATACCATAAATTTTCCTATGTACATAAGTTTTTTTACGGATGAGCCAGAAATAGTAGTTCCTAATTGCAAAATGAAGTCCAAACATGATATTTCCACAGCGCACACTCATAATTTGAAGAGTAAGTGACCATGGACATTCCTCCGGTACTCGCTCCAGGGATGTAACTTCCTTGGGAAACTTTCATTGCTGGAGGAATATGTGTCCTCTGCAAATTGGCAAAAAATGATGTTTTCAGAAATTCAAATGTGAGGTGTTTAACACTGCCGTTTAAAATTCCCTCATTAATATTGCACTCAATGAAAAGTAAAACAGAAAATAGACAGCGGCTTACTTTTGGATCGATGTTTGGTATGGCCTTCATGGCTTCATTTAACTTGGAGGACATTGCTGGCATGTTCCGTGTTATATATCTACCTGCAAAACCTACAGCAGCAAGCCCCATGCCTGCCAGGATAAGTGAACTCGCCTGAAATCAAGCATAAAACATCCTATCAAAATTTGAAAATAACTGAAAGATTAGACACATTTAGGTGTCAAGTTTGCACACCAAATTCATCCTCCGTTCTTTTACGTTGACTGCACGTAAAATCTATTTGAACTGTAGATTCTTGCAATTCATTTCAAGTTCATATTTTTCACAGCTGTTTTGTAAAGTTTGGCCGCAGGTGCTAGTCCCGATGCGCTTGCCATTCTGCGTCTCCCCCATAAGGTGATTAAGAGACTAATGATCAGAATGGCATAGGAAGCATTAGGTACATCCTTGTGACAATCTTCTGGACTACATCAGAGTATAGCTGCTTCTATGCCTATCAGTATGCTGCAGCGATAATTAGAAAGGTCCAGAACTGACCCAAAATATAAGGCTCTTGTTAGAAGTTGAATCTTGCACGGGAGAGTCTAAATTTCGTCACTGAGAAGGTCTAATTGGATGTTCCTCAAACATGGATGATGATGCAATAATTAGGAGTTTAATAGAAAAGTATAATGCTAAAACTTAATTTTGGATGGGTTGATTGCTGCTTTTCGTTTACTTTAGACACTCAAAGGAGTGTCTAGATATCTCCATTACATCATTCAGTGCAAAGTTAGGTGGTTGAAATGACTGATGAAAGGAGTCTTTTCTTGACATAGGTAATGTAAAAATTTTAAAATAGAAAGGATAGCAACTCACCATAGTATTCGAAGAAGTGACGGAAGGCTCAAACTCAAAACTGAAACTGGTTTAAAAATAAGTTGGAATTTTTTTTGAAAACGCAAAAAGAACAGAGATGAACAACATATATAGACGTGAGGATTTGAAGGTTAATTTTTGACAACATTGTTTTTATTCTCAGTTACGATTTTGTCCGCTAGAGTGCATTACGATACTATAGACCTTGTTTACCTTGTTATCAATTATCATGCCGTGCCGGGCTATGGCTGAGGCTGTAGTAAGTGTAAGTCTGTTTAAATGAATACATATACCAGTTAAATTAAATTCCTAGGAAGGATGATTCAATGGCAATAATCGCGTTATAACTGTAGTTGATCACATGTAAGTATGGCACATTTCAACTTTCTCGTCAGCTTTAATATTCTGCAGCTGTAACCTGCAGGGCACTTAACATAAGTTCGCCTGCGCTCTTGAGTACTCTCGAGAGCCCCCTTTTGCTTGGTTTTTCCTTGGTTTATTTCTGCCGTTATCAAGATCTAGCCACATAGGTCAGTCATTGCGCAGATTTCCTTGCTTGGAGTCGCCCCTATCCATTGGATCGTGCCGTCTGTAATACTGCCTTAGAAACCAGAAATGTCGGAAACAATGCTTTTCTTATGGAAGCATTACCAATTTTTACTAATGAATCATTAAAATTTCTTACTTTTAGATCTTTTGAAACTTTCTGTGTGTCGAAAGGAACGTTTAGACATTAGCATTCCGGGTTTTGATTTTGCCGAATTTGTGTTCTTTCATTATTACAGTTTCCTCTGCATCAGTCATTTTTACACGCGGATCTATACCACTAAATGGCTTGTTACATCGCTGACTTCAAAAATCATTTAAAAATATATAGACGCAAACCCAGCTGAATCAAAACCCTGGATGCTAATGTCGAAATGTTTTTTTTTACCTCCAAAAAGTTTCAAATGGTTTTTAAGTAAGAAATTCTAATGATTCATCAAGAAAAATTAGCCTTCTCCCCATAAGAAAAGCATTGATTTCCAGCTTTCTGGCTTTTGCAGCAGTAATTCTGACATCATACGCAGAAGATTCTCATTTTGGATCTGGGAATGACTGACCAATATGGATAGATCTTGGCAATTATGCTCAAGTAATTAAGTACAATATAGGTGTCTACATTGTCTTTTATGGCTTCATGTTTATCAAGTGAATCTTTTTTATCCATTCCAGTGTTCAGTAGAAACTGCACCCATATTGGATCGCGGCATCAACCAAACATGGTAGACTACAGCACAGCCGCTTGTATGAGTGATATCATCCCATTTAGTGATCTTTGTCGATTCTGTGATAAACTGAGTTCCAGTGAGTGGAAGAAACGAGGAGATATTTTGCTTCGATACATTCAATACTTTCGTGAGTTCTCAGCTAAGGTGAAAAAAATCAATCCAGGAATCGTAAGTATACCACTGCCTATCATTTTTAACCTCAACAGTGAATGACTTTTACAGCACTAAGCTGTGATCGTCATACAAACTGCTCATAAAAATGCCCCAAAATAATAATTGACAATCTGCACAGGCGTTTGATCAGAAATCTTTTGGTTCAGGCTTGAGGTTACATCAGATAAGTTGGCAGTTATTTACCTTCTGTTTGCATGTGTCTGCCCTGCTGCCATCCTATAGCAATCAAAAATTGACTGAGTGCAACAGCGTGACTGTGCTGGTGTTAGATGCAGATAGGTATGATCTTGACATTGGGAGGTTCCAAGGTTGATTTCCTGTCAGGCAACCTTAGTTTGACTGTCTCAAATGTAGGTCCTCTGAAGACAAGTTCACATGGAATACCAACCAGACAACCTATTCCTCAGGCTGCCTCGCTTGCAGCTTGTTCCGCCACTGCTCACATGTTGTGTTGGTTGTTGTTTCTTGTTGCATGCTGCACATTTGCAACTTGAAGAGGGTGCATGGAACTGTACGTCGTGCGGCCTGATGAGCAAGTGAATGTGTCTGTATAGTATTTCTCTTTATGTATCCCTAACGTAGCTGGAACCATCACATACACTAACAAGGTCTAATATTGGCACATAGCTGTAAATGCCTGCTAAGTACCTATAAAGTTAAAGCACCTTCATACTTCAACAAAACATACTCTCCCAAAACTTCTCCTATTTGCCATTTGACTTGTGTCGAGGTAACAAGCCTCTTTTGGCACCTAAGAAAACTGTTTTGATGAAAAATGTTCTGCTGTTTTTTCCCAGTTGTACTTATCTTTTTAACAGTTTGAGGATTTGATTGCGTTAAAAGCTTTTTTCAATGTCCAGTTTTTAAATATTCATTTTTCTTGTTAACATTGTTACCTTATTTCTGTATCATAGTATTTTTGTCTATCTGTTTGTTGCAGAATGACAGTTTTTACCCTGTGATGCGGCTTCTAGTTCCCAGTTTAGATAGAGAAAGAGGTCCCTACGGCATAAAGGAAGTGAAACTAGCTCAGATATATGTTAGAATTCTCTGTCTTGCTAAAGACAGTAGGGATGCTTCCAAACTTCAACACTTCAGGTTTGTTGTTTCTGAACCTAAGAATTGTGAGGCTCTCCTCTCTAGTACATTAGAGATTAAATTATCTTCCAAAAGAAAATTTGCTCTAGAAAAATAAATTAGATGCATTGATGCAAATGATCTGGGGCTGCACAATTTTTTTGCCATTTTGCTTTGACTTCAATTCGAAGCTAATGCTGGACGCTTTGGCAATGAATTTCTTGATGCTTGTGGCTGAATTGCACCTTGAGGATGCAGAAAAAGTCCAATAACGCACGCAGTGAGGCGTGTAAAACTATAGGAAAACCCTAAATTTGTGGAAATTCTCAACTCTTAATATGCAGGGTTGCTAGCGGTCTAGAAAACGGGGAAAGTCAGGGAATTCACGGGAAAAATCTAGGAATTTTTCGAGGTGCGTTTAGCAGAAGTAAATGTAATTTAAAGAGAAACACCTCAAAGTGGAAGTTTTACTAGAATGTCAGGAAAAAATTTTGGAGTCAGCGAAATGCAAAAATAGTAAGAGAATTTGACGGTGAAGAAATTATGGCAACCCTCAATATGAGATAGAGACAGAAAATCCACTTTATTAATTCTTGTATTCATTCACAATACTGAAATGAAAATGGAAGATTCGTCATTCGTGTTAAAAAAATCAGTCAACTTATTTGGAATGATTTTCTACACAAAATAGGTGCATTAAAGGCTCAAAAATCGAAGGTAAAATAATATAAAAGATTCTATTTGTATCTAATTCTGAACTCTCACTATGGCTTGTAGTCATCAATTTATCTGGAGTGCATGAATAGACCTTCAAAATCCTACAGAATCTTTGAAAGTACTCCTTATATTCTCATGTACTTAAATATGATGAATTTTTCCCAAGAGATCAATCTATTTGTTTTACTCCCATCACTCAGGAATCCGTCAAAAGCTGGGAAAGCTGCTGGTGATTTTGCTGATGTCATTTATGATGTTTTAAAGAGTCGAATTTCATCTAATGAAAACCTCAAAATTTCAGATGTGAATCAACATTTGGATAACATTGCAAACAAGAATGCATCAAACGACCCCAGTAAGTTTATTCTCTCATCTTGAATAGCTTGCATAAAATAAAAAGCTGAAACTGAAATTGTCATCATTACTGGAGGGCAAAGACCTGATTTTAAGAACATGCCTTTTTTCTTTTTTAGTAATAATGTAAATGGAGCTCTTGCATGTGTCAGGAATTTGTGATTAAGGTACTAATTCCTATCTAAAATTTTGCGAGAAACACGATGGCGCCACTGGTTTTCTCTGAAACAAACTCCAAAACTTAAGAAAAAAAGCTTTCAAAGTTGAGGCTGTATTGGAGGAGATATCCTGCGCTACCCTGGGAGTCCACCTCTATATCAAGACAAATTCTCTATGGAAAGATAGGGAGCAAACACATTGACAGGGTTGCCACTTTGTCAGGGGACTCCGAAATTTGATTCACAGCAACCCTGCTTACATATTTGCTCCTTATCTTTGCGTAGAGAGCTTGTCTTAATGAAGAGGTGGACTCGCAGGGCAGTGTGGAATATCTCCTCTATTACAGCCTCAAATTTGAGAGCTTTGTTTGAGCTTTAGAGTTGATTTCATAGAAAACCAGTGGCACCATCGTTTTACTGGTGAAATTTTACGTTGAAATCAGAGCTTAAATCACAAATTCCTGACACATGCAAGAGCTCCATTGTCTTTAAAGTCAAAGGATCCATTGCATCCATAGTGTACAATCGAGAAATTTAGGAGTCAACCAATTCTAGAAGTACACTGTGTTGGAAGCCAAAATTCAAACTCTCTTTTTTGATAAAAAGTTTCCTGGTGCGGATTCAAGACACTCGATATTGTAGATAATACCCAAAGGCTCATAAACGTATTTCCTTTTTAATGGGTTGATTCCTTTATTCATTTATTTTTTACTTGTAGGAGGCATCGATGATGAGCTGACCATACTAATGAGGAAAATGTCAGCAAGCGAACAAAAATGGTTGGTGCGAATGCTGTTGAAAGATATGAAACTAGGCATTGGAAACAACAAAATCCTATCAACTTTCCACAGGGATGCTGTTGATCTATATGATGTCTCTAACTGTTTAAAAAAGGTGAGTCTAAGGAAAAGATTTTCAACAAATTCAATTCAGTACCCCAGAGCCAAAAGATACCTACCTAACTCACATTTTTGAAAAAATCAAGTTTGTGTTGTTTTGGAAATCTCAAATAACAGTTCCTTGTGTGTGGAAAATTTGATTGTCCTATCTTATGTCAGTTATGAGATACAGAATTTCAAAAATTGTGATTTACATTGGAATCAGTGGGGTCAAAGCACGGATTTTCTCTGATATCTCGGAATGACCAAAACGGGGTTAGGTACCTTTTGACTCTGGGGTACTGAATTTATATTACAGAGTAGGACCAGACCAGGAACCTCAATTCAAATTGGATTTTAGCCTCTTAAGTACTTTTATGCTGTGCTCATGCAATAGTTTTGGATAAGAAGTCTTTGAAAACACAGTTTTTGAGTGAATATTTTTGTCAAGTTTAATTGAAAAATGGGCCAGTCTCAAAAAATAAGTGACAAACCTAAGTTGAATTCTGTCATACCTAGCAAGAACCAAAGCACTCCTCTCCAAACTGCTCTGAAGTCCGCAAGTTTTTCTCACACAAAATTTCTACAGGTTGAAAACCAAACCATTATTATTGTTGGCATTCTTAGGATATGTACATCATAATCTGGAAAATTTATTCTGAGAATGCAAATTAAACAGGTAAAAGGGTTCTGTTTGAGCTAATTTGACTTTGGGCGGTTATGCCCATCTTCAATTAACCTGTTTAATTATTTTTTTAAAAACGAAATAATTAGGGTGACAATTCAGAGGGGGGGGGGGCATATGTATATTTGACAGGTGAGTGAAGATTATCTTGTGGAACATTAAAGTCCATCTCATTTCTGTTTGCTAGGTTTGCAGCACTCTGAAAGATCGCAATACTCACCTCCATGAAATAGAGGTTTGTTTATGGGATAAGTTTCGACCGATGCTCGCTCAAAGATGCGATGTTCAAAATGTAGATAAAGACCTCCCCAGGCAAGAATACTATCTTGTAGAACCCAAGTGGGACGGTGAACGATTTCAGTTGCATTATGGTGATGGGAAATTCAAGTACTATACCAGGTGAGATTTTCTAAAATGTCTCTGATAGCTATCTGGTGTCTGCTTTTAAAGAACTTTTCTAATCAGTGACTTTTTACATGCACTTAAAATATTTTCAATGTTTCATCAGCTGTTCATCATAAGTCTTATCTACAATTGAGAGGCTTGGAAGTCAAGGCACATACATGCAGTTTTTGAAAAATTGAGATACTCCCGAACTCAACTAAAACCAGTTCGAAAGTATGTTCTGTGAAAAATTCATAACTAAAATCTAACTTCAAAGCATCATAAAGTGAGTTTAAACTTCCTTTCCGCCATAAGGCTCCATGTAATTTTGAAACTTTAAACACATATTTCTTAAAATAGCTAAAACTGCTCTTATGTGCCTTGTTCTCCAAGCCCCTCCATCCTTGGCTTGGGTTTTTATATCAGTACATGATTTTGATGATGAAACGGCAAAACCACATTTTCTAGTTTGATACGTTGCAGATTCCCTTTACTTATACTTTTTTGAAGGATGATCAATCGTTCTCATCCCACATATTGTTATGTGATTTTTCACTGTCCTCGCAAGAAAATTTGTTTAAAATTTTTCACATAACTAGCCCGTAAAATTCTGCCAAAAAATGTAAGTTGGAGTTCTTTTGAAAACTCTTAACCAATTTAGTTTCCTGTGAGGTTTCTCTGTGTTGCAGGAAAGGTTTTGACTACACAAATACCTATGGAGAAAACGCCTCTCAAGGAAACCTCTCACCTTACTTATCCAAACAGTTCTTGCCATCTGTGAAAAATTGTATTTTAGATGGGGAAATGATGTGTTGGAACTCAAGAATGAAAAACTTCACAACTAAAGGTAAGCCGTAACATTATTTTTCCCAACTTTTCAAGAATATTACCTGCTAGTTTTCAGAATTGAGTATGCTTCCAAACAACCAATTTCTGCATATGAATGTGTCAATTATTAGCTTCAAAATTAGATCCCTCCTTAATTCTTTAGTGTGTGTCTTAATAATTATTGCACTTTTGTTCCAGGAGCTGAAATAGATGTAAAGATGCTTAAGGTTGGAAACGTTCATAATCCCTGTTTCTGTGCTTTCGATATTTTATTGCTCAACGACCAGGTTTTGACCAACATGCCACTGCATGATAGAGTTGCCATACTGAATAGAGTTTTCACGCCTGTGGAAGGAATATTCATGAACACTGTCCGCAGCAAAGTTACCGACAAGTAATACTGCTTTCATATGATTTTATTTTTTGAAACCTATTTGTTTTGTTGAAAGTTTTCTTGTTGAAAGCTGCACTAATATCATCTATTTAAGACTTCAATAATCTGCATTTGATTGCGAAGAAACACGGGAACCGCTCAGAAATCTACCTTATACAGCAGGTTCATGACCAAGAAAATCAATTGCAGCCAATGCGATGGTGAAACTATGTAACAGAACTATCCTTCTTGGTTTGAGACGCTGCATATTTTTGTCAGATCTTACATTTTTGAAAGATGTTTGATCATCACTACTGTTTGGAAACCGCAGATATTTCCCTATTCTCCCTAGAATAATCTTAGAAAATTGTGTGTCAAGTATTAGTATTACTCTCTTTGAAAAATGAAGCACATAGTGGCAAAAACTTTTAAGTTTTGTAATCGAAGTCCATGTTTTTGTCAAGCCGTGTTTCATCATCGAAGTATCGCTAATTCTAGGGTTTTTAGTGACCAAAAAAATTGGAAAAATTAGGAAAAATTGGGAAGTTTGATTTCACGAGGAAAAGGTTGAAAAATACAGAGATTTTGAAAAAAGTACTACTAAATATAGAGAAATATAGGTAGGATATTTTGGCACTTTACAGCGATGGAAGTAAAAAAGTTAACGTTCCAACTTCTCAAATGGTTTTCATGCCTAATTTTGTTTTTTTTTTTGCGGCATGAACCCAGGAAAAACTAAGAAGAAATTGAGGAATTTTCAGTTTTGAAAATAATGTGAACTTGGCATCTGTAGATCTCATTGATGTGTGATTTTTAAAGCCGCCAAAATTCCAACGGTCTGCAGTTTTCTCAGAATATATAGCTTTCTGCACTGAATTATGTATCGATAAAAGATTGAAATTCCATCTGCTGAATGTATCCAAAAAGTTTTTAATACTTAAATGAGTGGCTCGATACTAAAATATCTGATTGTTAATATAAACTCTTGTTTTTCATGATCAATCTGATTTCTATCTTTGTACTGTCACAGAGGAGAAATCTTAAGTGCATTGAATCGAGCCATAGATAATTTTGAAGAAGGAATCATGATAAAAAACCCATTCTCCGTGTACAAACCAAACTCAAGGAAAGATGGCTGGTACAAAATCAAACCTGAGGTATGTAAAAGACTCACTATTTATCACTATTTGTGGAAGGTAAATTATTCCTCCCAGATTCAGTTTCAACTCTTAATTCTTCATTACTTTCTGTTGTTAGTGAAGTTCAAACCACGGATGAGTATTCCTGCGGCTCATAAATTTGTTGATGAAGAACCTCTGCTAGATTCAGTCAAATTAGGCTTTGCATTTATTTTACTAAGTACCTTGTGATACTCACATCACCAACAGCATTAGTAAAAAGTAGTTGCAAGCTTATTATTGAAATCTATAGAAAAAGTTAAAGACAAAAGAGACAAAGAGATAATGGAGCAATTCTACCGATGGGAGCAGGTGGTAACAAGTGAAAAAAGAGGTAGGCAATACACTTACCAATGGAAACCCACGAGAGACCCTATAGTTCGTTCATCATTTTCCTCCTTCGTCTACAGCAACTGCTTGTTTCAACCAATTGCATAGCTTCATTCTCTCTTTGTTTTCTTTGTCTATAGCTTTATCCATCAATTTCAATAATAACCTGCAGCCCTCAATGTGCAACGATCTTCAAAAGTCCTCTGTGCCATTATTGCACAATTTTTTTTCCGGTTTTTTTAAAATGAAAGTTACCAGTTTTTGTAATACGCCTATCCAGTTTCCATATCACTCGTTTTTCAGTTTCGGATTTAGCTCAACTTAGATTGGAATTTTTTGTGACCTCCATATACCAAAAAACTCAAAACAATGAAACGGCTCATCAGAATTTTCCGGCTATTTTTCCAAATAATTGGTCATTGGTAAGACTTGGCATGTCGCAATAGGTATCAGTGCAATACATTTGATGCTTACTAATCAATGTTTCTCGATTTTTTAATGATAGTACACTGAAGGCAGCATGATTGAGTTGGATGTTCTAATCATTGGAGGTTACTATGGAGGAGAGGGAAGATGGAGAACGGCTGTCACTCATTTCTTATATGCACTCGCTGCGCCATCATCCATTCCCGGTAATTGTTAACTTGATTTTTCTGATCAATGAGTTTTTTTATTTTTGAAAACTGTGAAACAAGTTATCCACCGCTTTCTCGGAAAATTTGAAAGGATAGCAACCTGCAAATAGTAAAATCTATTGTTGAAAGATTGATCTTTCTTACCCTCCATTGGTTTCGATTGATTCTGTTTGTAATTCACAAAATTGATTATTCAGAGGGTGACAAGATTTTCGTCGATTTCTAATGTGTGAAACAAGTGCAGCTTTGCACTTTTCTAATAATTACTAAAAACTGAACAATTTCATTTCTTCACAGTTTTACATCTAACCCTAAAGAGTCTTCAAACCAAATTCCCAATTAATTTCAACTGGTTTCAGCAAATTTTTAGCCTTAAACAACACTCTAAAATTTGATCCATAAAAAAAGAGTCTAGAAAAGGTCTAGGACAACTGAAATTTTAAGTATCTACTCATATTTTCTTTGAAAATAGATTTGTATGTAATCTCTAAATATTTTGATGAATCTTGACGGCATAATTTTGCATGATTCTCTCTATTTTTTGCATTTTTGTGACCTAGAAAATAAAAAAAAAATTCTGCTCTAGTTTTACAATGAGCATGAAATGACTTACAGAAGAATCTCAGTTTTGAAGTTCATAGTATGATAAAACGGGTAAAGCTGTCATCTCTTTTTTTGGAACGCATGCTTTACAGCACAGATTAAAAGTTAGAAAGTATGCAAGTCTGTAATATAGTGATTTAAAAAAAAATCGCAAATCGCCCTATTTTATATTATTAAGGGATCAAATGATAAACGTTCTATGTTCTATGACCATGATGAACATCTACTAGACTGCTGATTTTTTGTTCAGAGACATGAAGCGTTATGTCTACAAATGCAGAGATTAACTTGACTACATTCTACTATCTTTGGCTCCTTTTAAAAACAACGTGTGTGTCATAAGTCTCCTTATGTAGTTAAGTGTTTTTATAGATGAGCTAGAAATAGGACATAGTTCCTTACTGCAAAATGAGTTCAGTTTTTCTTTCTGAATAGAAATTTTTGTACAAGTAATTCTTTTTGCATTTGAATATTTTAGGTGAAAACCCTACAGAATTCCATTCTTTTGGGCGGGTTGGATCTGGGTGCACGCAGGAAGAGTTATCGGAGCTTGGAGCTAAACTTGCGCCCCACTGGAGGAGAGTTAAAACTGGAATCATGCCACCAAATATAATTTGGACCAAAGAAAAACCAGATCTATGGATTGAACCAAAGAATTCCATCATATTACAGGTATTGGCTGGTCATAGGAGTATTCAAAAAAATAAATTAAAAAAATCAGCCATCCTTGGAAAAAAGGACCCTTGTCCACAAGAACTAGAAATTTCTTAATTGATACAAGAGCAAAGGAGAGTGTACTTTGAATATTTTGCAACCAAAACAAGCTCAAAATGATTGAACCAAACTAGGTCTATTTTTCAGTGAAGTTTGTAATTAAAAAACAAGAGTAGTTTCAAGAAAAGCCACTCAAAATTCCAATCCTCCAAGTTTGCCGGGCTGATTATTGAAATTAATAGACAAAATAATAGGCAACGAAAATAGGAGAGAATAGAGTGATCCGCCTACTGGTTGAAACGGGCATGTAGTGTCACAGACTAAGGGAAAAATGATGGACTGTCCAAAGGGTCTCCTGTGAGTTACCGTTCATTAGGCGATTACTTACCTCCTCCGTCTATTGCAACCATCCCTTTTCACCAGTATGTCATCTTTATCTATTGCTTTGCCTATCAATTTCAATAATCAATCTGCAGGGCACAAAATTGTTCGTTTAAAATGCAGGTTTTTGCCATCTCCAAGCTTAAAAATGAACCCAAATGATCACCGTTTAATCTTTAGGATGTAAGAGAGAGTTTTCTCTCAAAATCCGATTTTTATCTGATTATTCTTTCCGATTATGAATCACACTACTGGCAGTTTTGCCTCTGTGAACTAAAATCTCTTATCCTGTGGACTGTCACAAATGGATAGACAAAACTGCTAATTATTTTCCATACTTTCTTTTGTCTCTCAGTGCTGAACCAGGAGAAATTTTGGATTACCATCATATTCGAAAGAGATTTATGTAGAGTTCCACTGCTGTTTTTATATTTGATTGACAAATTCCCACCGTAGCGAGCTTAAGTGAGTTGCTGATGGAAAATCATACCATTTCTTTTTCAAGAACCTCGGTGCAACCATTGTCAATTAGCGAGTGCGCAACTTAATTGTTGATTGGGCAATATAAAATGGGCCGATATTTATTAGTTGCATCAATAAGCTTTTGATGTTGGGACTTGAAACGGTGAAAAATATTTTTTTCATGCGTTATTCACCTGCCTTTTCCCCTTAATCAAAAGAATGTCAATGGTGAAACTACCGGACCACTTAACTCTTTTTGCAGCGTCTAAAAATCTTCGCTCCAATTTTATTTTTTTGAAGGAGAACAAATCAATATCATTCCTTGAAATTTTCATGAAGTTTTTCTCGCACAGAGAAGAATGAATACGGAAATTTTCAAGAATCGATGTTGAGTAGTTTTCAATATCAAAAATAAAGTATAACAGAAAGTCTGAAACGTCCCAAACGGACATACGTAGTCTGGTAGTTTCACTGTTGATATGGTGATTGGTTGAACAGATATTTTCAGTGAACATTCCATATCTATAATGTTGTGAGGTGCTCACAATTAATCACAGAAAATTGGACAGTCCTTTGTAATATTTTTTTAAATCTTGCAATCTCTTTATTGTATCTTCACAAATTATTTCATATTTGCAATTTTCAAGCTTTTGAGTAATCAAGTAACGGCTTCTGTATTTATTGTCCTTCTAATAGGTAAAAGCCACTGAGGCTGTACCGAGTGATTCATTTCATGTTGGCCACACTTTGCGGTTTCCAAGGATTCAAAAAGTAAGAGACGATAAACCCTGGACAGATTGTTTGACAGTTCCTGAGTTCTTTAAAATCTTGGAGGTAAAGTGGCATTCTTTTTAAAGTATGTATCTGCCTCATTTTTTTGTTTTTAATGTTTGTGACTATGCGTTTTTTTAATCATAAACTCAAAGATCCAGCTGCCACTTAATCAGCTCATTATAATTTAAAGCTCCTGTAGATATTTCTTAAAGAATTTCCTCAAAGTCTTATTTCCTTTTAATAGTTTCCCAATAGGAAAAAAATATCCCAAAGTAGGAGCCTTTTATTTCTTATCATTTTTGTTTCATTGTACTTTCCAAGTGATCACGCATTCAATGACCAATTTCAGGGTACCGATAGCCTAAGTGCAAAACCACGCATTTTCATTGAGGTGTTTCAAAATTTCTGCTCCCATTATATTTTATTAAAGAGGAACAAGTGGATCTCATTTAGCAAAAAGGAACCAGGGCAATTACAGTGTTTTCAAAATTGTGCAACTTCTTTTCTTTTAAAAATACTCCATATATGCACAGTATTCAAGTTTACACAATTATATTCCTCTAAAATAGACAATTTTTTGGTGGTAAGCAAAAAAATTGCTGTTCTGGGAAAATTTTTTAGATAATTATAATGAAGCAACATTTTTACAACAATGTAATAACGCTGGTTCCTTTTTGCTGAATGTGATCCAAGTCAATTTTACAGCTTGTAATGTATTCTACTAACAAAGAAGAGAAATCAAGGTAATTATTTCAAAAATTATGTTGACTACCTTTCTGAAGAAAAATTAAAGGATAACAGTAAGTCTGCAATGTTGCAAACAGAGGTATGTGGATTTGCACTTTGTCCATAGGTATATTTATCTATCAGGATGTACTCTTCCAACTATCTCCAGTTTTTATGTTTCAGTCATCAAAAGGCAAACTTGTCTCCGGTCACATATTGGCTACAATGTCTCCTCTCAAGAAAAGGGCCAAAAAAACGATCCAACAAAAACCGAGTTTAGGAAGTGAATTCCGCTCCGCTGATGTAAACAATATTGAAAAACTCTCTTCCATCTTCAAAGGCAAAGAATTTTGCATTTTTATTGACAAGGAACAGAAGCAAGAAGTTGAGACGAAAATAGTACAGCATGGTGGCAACATTGCACAAAACCCAGGTATTTTATCTGGTTTTTTTTTTTTTTTTTTTTTTTTTTTTTTTGCAGCTGTTAATAAATTATATTAGTTGCAAACTTTTTCCAATTGAATTAGTCATTCTAAAAAAGAACGTAACCCTCCATGGCATGAATTAATTTTGGATCTCAGATTCTAGGGGACACTAATCTATTTTGTAGCTTGCACAAAAACAATTGAGTACAAAATTTTTTTTAAAAAAAATTTTAAGATTAAAGGAATCAATTTTTTGAAAACAGAAGAAACTAATGAAATTTTGCAAAATCATGGCACAGGGGGAAGATTCAATTTTTAAAAACCCCAAAAATACGTTGTTATGAATTCGTCTGGGAAGAGGCGACGGGGACGTCCCGTAAAGGGTTGGCGGCAGGGCGTTGACGAAGAGATGTTGCAGTGTCAGTTGCCCGATAACCTCTGGGAAGACAGGCATATGTGGCGTTTGGGTGTCGTAGAACGCCAGAGTGCGTTATAAAGCGACTTTTATATATATGAATTCGTAATGCTATGCCATAGAGGGTTAAGTGCCAGAAATGAAAATACAAGAAAAATGAAACAAAAAAAGTTTAAATTGACCTGTTCCAAATCTCAAAACTCCCACCAGCAGATACTCTCACTCCTCAAAGTATGCTTTTTCATCAAATCTTCATGCTAAACACACTTGACATGTTTAAAGTGTCCAAATAATTTTCAAGTGAGTAATTATTGTTTATGATTTACATTGGAATTAGTAAATTCAAGCTGAGGTCAAAGGGAACCTTTTAGTAATTGAGTCATTTTCACTCTGTTTTTTGTTTATGCAGGCTCTGATACTTTCTGCATTGTCACTAGTAATCCCAAGCAGTTGCGGATCAAGAATCTCATAAAAGTTGGCGACTACACCATTGCCAAGCTTGATTGGTTGGAAAGATGTTTCACTGAAGTCAAGCTCATCCAGTGGACTCCAAATGATTTAATATTCATGGGCAAGCAAGCCAAAGAAGATCTCAAGTATAAATATGATCAGTTCTCTGACAGTTACGTTGAGTTTGCCACCGAAAGTAGCCTGAAAGAAACAATTCTTGCAATGCGACTTTATGTAAGACTTTACGCTTTGATTTTAAATTTTCTCTCGTGTTGTAACTTGGAGAAATCTCTCTTCTGCATTTCCATTTTTGATCGGATTCCAAAATTGTTGAAAAGTTCAAGCTGTCTGAATTTTTCTCAAACACTCTTCAAGAAATTTCCCCGAAGCTCATCGAAAGCAGCCAGCAGGCTGATTATTGAAATTGGTGGACAAAAGGGAAGTGGAAGGATCGTATTGGTTGAAACGAGTGATTGTGACAGACCAAGGGGAAAATGATGAATTAACTGTAGGATCTTTCATGAGTTGCCGTTGGTTACCTCCTTTGTCCATTGCAACCACTAATAGAATTGCTCCATTTTGCCTTTGTCTTCTTTGTCTGTAGCTTTATTCTCTTTTTTACCCATGTTCTATCATTTTCTTTATTTTTTTACATTTCCTTCATATTTTTCTTCAATTTTTTTCTTTCTTTTTTCATAGTTTTTAGTCAAAGTGGAATGGCTTGCAGAGCTATTGCCTCGGGGTCTAGGAGGCCGAAATCTTTTGGCTGACTGAGCTTGAAGCGGCTAGTAAACTAATATACCTATAAATTTTTTTTGCTTTTTAATTGCAGGATGATAAGATCGTTTTTGGAATGCCCAAGCAGATGCTTCAGTTTGAAAAGAAGGTGCTCAATAAAACCTGTCCTTACTCATTTTTCAGACAGTGTAGAGCATTTTTTGGCATACCGGCAGATGTAAGTAATATTTTATTCAGCTGGCCAGGGTTAACATTTGTCTATGGGCAAGATTCAACGAGGGAATTATCAGGATGGACGATCAGTATGTGGTCGGTCACTGAAGGAAATCTCTTTCACAGCTGCTGGGTTGGGTTGTGTCTATGGTTAAAATTTCTCTGAATCAAGAATTCAACAAATAAATTAATCAAAGTTGGTTAAGAGGAAACTTTTCCGTGGATGAAAGTGCTAAGAAATTGGAAAATTCAAATGCTTGTTTTTGTCCGTTCTTTTTCTTGTTTAACTCTCTCAAGAAAGTGCTATGAAAATTGAAGTTTCAAGATACTATAGCTATGCTACCTGCGTATGTCCACGGAAACATTTTTTTTTTTTAGTAAAAAAACATTTTTTACCTGAAAAAAGCATAAAGTATACATTTTTAGAGAAAATATGGAGTTTTTAAAAATTCTTATCTGCTGAAGCACAAGATTGAACAATAGGTTGACTTTTAAAACTATCTTTGTTTTACATCTTTGTTTTGTTTCTTTTTGTGTTTGTTGTTTGTTTGTTTTGTTATCATTCTCATTTGGTTACATTCATTGAGTACAAAGTCCTGAATTTTTATATTTTAATAACAAAAATTTAAAATTAGTTTGGGTGAAGACACAAAATTCCGAAAAACGTTTAATATTTTACAAACATTTCAGACCATCATTTTGGTATAATTGACATAGCTATAATATTCTAGGCTTAAGATGATGAGATAATGTGTAATGATGAAACGTTAGAAACATAAAGATGAATTTATAGAAACCTAGCCGTAAAAAATGTATTTTTATGAACTTGGTTTTTCATGGTTTTCTCTTTTCAGGGACTCAGTTCTTTAAATCCTGAATTCGAGACCGCCAGACTCGACTTCGCATTCTATGGTGGAATCTTGGAAAAAGAAATAAGTGACTCCACGACCCACACTATTTATCCTTCTAAGTATGTTATCATTTCATTATCTTAAATACTTTTACTTGAAGGAATATATTTCTATGAATTAGACAGGAAAAAAAGTTTTTATTTTATGAGACGGCAAGATTATGCTGCATGGAAGTTATGCAATCAATTTTAAAGCCCCCCCCCCCCCAAAAAAAAAAAAAAAACAGAAAAAGCATCCACACTCCATGTTGACATCTGCTGTCTGAAGCAAAAATGCTGAAACACCATCAATTACAAAATCAAACTCAACTTTTGCAGGCTGATTATTGAAATCAATGGACAAAGTGACAGACAATGGAGAAAAAAGAAAGTGGAGGGATCCTATTAGTTGAAACAGGTGATTTTCATGGACTGAGGTAGAAAATGGTGGACTAACTTCTCTCTCTGGAGTTCTCTCGTGAGTTGCTTTTAGTTAGACTATGACTTACCCCCATTGTCCATTGCAACCACCTACTTTCACCAATAGGATCGCTCCATGTTTTCTTTTCCTCCTTTGTGTTTCGTTTTGTCCACCAATTTCGTTTTCAACAATCAGTCAGCTGGCCCCCACTTTGTTTTCTTTTTGAGAAGGATGCTTGATGGAAGGGGTTAGTGCTTGAAATTCTCAACAATCATCCTTTGTAACGAGGAAAATAATCATAGAGTGTTTAAATAGTGTTGATCAGTTATTGTCAAAAAATAGACAAGGAACAGAAGTGGGCAGTTTTAAAAATGCTGGTATTGTTCTCAGACATGGGTCATCGACTTGCATATCAGGGAAGAATGAGTGCAGCCATTCAATTTGTGAGTTCTCCATCAGAAGGCTGATTATCTAAATGGATAGACAAATCGATAGATACATAAGATGAAAGGGGAGTGGAACGATCTTATTGGTTGAGACTGCTGGTTCTTATAGACTAAGAGGGAAAATGATGTACTAACTGTGGGGTCTCTCCTCAGTTGCTGTTAGTTAGTCTCTTCCATACCACCTTTTTCCAGTGCAACCACCCGCCTCCACTAATAGGACCTCCGATCCCTTCAATTTCACTTTGTCTTCTCTGTCCATAGCTTTGTCTATCAATTTCAATAATCAGCCTGCAGTTAGGTAGTTTTGTGCTTTCTCAAATTTTCTACAATTTCGTTCGTTACTTTTGAAGTTAATAACTTTCTGTTTATTTTTTTCAGGCATCCAGAAAACATTCGTGTTCTAAATTCTCTCAAACAAGCAAGGAAGTTCAATTATCAGATAGTCAGCGAAAAGTGGGTTGAAAGCTGTATTGAAGAAAAAAGGATGATTGATGCGTAAAATTGACCTGTTTGAATTTTTTCTTGGCTGTGATATTTTTAATTTTTAGAATTTTTTTTATTTCCACCAAATTATCCCCAGTTTAAGGTCGGTCGGAAGCCATTCCCGCAAGTTTTGTGGAGCTGTTTTGCTGTCCAATTTACGTATATTTTAATTGTGTCAAGAAGTTTCCTCCTATAACTTTTTTGAAAGCTCTGTACCAGTGATTTCAAGTCTTTCATATTTTTTGTGTTTCCAATTTGTCGGAAATAAAGTTGTTCCTACTTTACCTTTTTCGCCTGTCACTAAATTGTTTCATACCATCATACCATCCCAATTTTTTTAATCGTTCTGGAATTCCATGATTAAGTTTTTTGCCTCCTTCCTCCTGAGGATTCTACTTAGTAGCCTCTAGAAAATCTAAGGGATTTTTGTGAAATAAGTGAGTGATATTTTGGTCACTCTCCAAATCCTCTTTTATTTTATTTTTCGGTAATAACAGCTCAGAATTGCTCTCAAGATGTCTCGATTATCAAGATGATTCTGCCGCCCCCTCCCATCCTACTCTTTTAAGAGCTGAGGAAACCCAAACAAGAAATTTCGATTGTGTGTCTTTGAGAAAAATAAAATTACCAGTCCCATGGTAGCACTGAAATTGTTTTTATACTTTTTAAAAAATTGTAAATATTTGTTAAAATGTACGAGGTAGAAAATCTTTTTTGTCCTTTTGTAAATGAAATGTGTGTGGAATTCCAGCTAAAAAAAGTTTGGGAAAAAAAATTGGCATCAAAATCTTGTTAGTTTCTAAAACTCACTCACATTGATGCTGAACGTAAAGTAAAGTGCAAAAAATGTAACGCAGAGACAGAGAAATTTTGCAATGGAGATACGTGGTTTCGCACTTCAGTCGGTGCAATACGGACAGCCATCAAGTTTAAAGAGTTGCATCAAGTCCCCGTCACCGCCGACCAACGCGTTTGTCGATCGAATCAACTACAGGTAGCATGAGCAGGGAGTCAAAACGCCTTCAATTTTTTGAACGCAATACGGACATCCGTCGAGGTTGTATAGTTGTATCAAGGCGCCGTAGCAAACGCGTTCCATTGTTTATCGTTACAGACGAATATAAGTTGAAAGAGGCCAGTCATAATGCCTTCAATTTTATACATACATGTTTTCGGGCAAAATGCGAGACGGCGTTTCTCCATTTGCGACGTTTCAGACTTCCTTAGAAATTTTATTTTTCTTTCGAGAAGCTGGTCAACATAAAACTTAAATTCTAAATGATTTTTCGTATTCGATAGCAGAAGATTTGGTTCAAAATTTAAAGTCGTACATTTGGACTGTTTCTCATGGAAGAGATGAATTAAGAGCGGAAATTTTGAAACACCGCAATGGAGATACTTGGTTTCGCACTTCAGTCGGTGCGAGACGGACAGCCATCAAGTTTAAAGAGTTGCATCAAGTCCCCGTCACCGCCGACCAACGCGTTTGTCGATCGAATCAACTACAGGTAGCATGAGCAGGGAGTCAAAACGCCTTTAATTTTTTGAACGCAATACGGACATCCGTCGAGGTTGTATATTTGTATCAAGGCGCCGTGGCAAACGCGTCCCATTGTTTATCGTTACAGACGAATATAAGTTGAGAGAGGCCAGTCATAATGCCTTCAGTTTTATACATACATATTTTCGGGCAAAATGCGAGACGGCGTTTCTCCATTTGCGACGTTGCAGACTTCCTTAGAAATTTTATTTTTCTTTCGAGAAGCTGGTCAACATATTTCCGTTAAAAAATGCTACTAGGGGATCGGCCCGCCAAAGACAAACCCCTCTGACATATAGCAAATTAATAACAGAAAAACAGTATATGACCTACAAAATATGCGAAAAATTCATGAATAAACGGGAGAAAAGGGAGTAAAGAGTTAAGAAAAGGTGCTCGCACACGCATGATAGTGGTTAACGGAGGTCCAGGAACTGTCACGATGGATGGCGATTTAATTTCGATTTTATCGACGAATATTGATCGCGATTTTATTGAATAAAAAATTGCGATGCATAGCGATTCAATCGCCATACATCGCAATTTTTTATTCGATAATATTGCGATAGATTGCCACCGATAAAATCGCTATTTGTCTCGATCATGGGCGAGGGGCGGATCTGCCAATGGTTATAGATTGGCCTTATGGCCAGGCCGAGCCTGCGTAGTGACTGAAATGTTCGGTAAAACATAGGTAAGTATGTTAAAATTTTCGGAAGAAACTGGAGAAAAACGTGTAAATGGGCAAGATGGCGTGTAAAAAGAAAATGTAAAAGGAAAAGAAGAAAATTTCCTATTCAGGATATTTCAACAGTTTTTAGAGAGTTTTTCCGTTGAAATTTGCGATTTTTCAACAGATTTTTTTACCAGGGAAGTTGTGGGAGAGGGGCGAGAGGTTGTCCCAGATCCTCCGTATTTTCAAAGTGACACACATGTTCCTATAAACGCCCCCGAAGTGATGAGATAACGACTTATAATATGCTTCAGGGGAGTAGTTACCCCTAAACGAGATTAGTGGCTTCTTCAGTGCTCAGCGAAGGGCGATTCCACGTATGTCGCTCCAGACAAAAACGCCGTTTGAACTTTCGAACGTTACCAAATCTCTCTCTATATGAAAGATTTATTTACGAAAAGTTATGCGCACTTTTTCTGGGGCATTTTCAGGAGCGGAGTAAATTGAATTATGATAGGATAGAAACCCTCTGAAACGTTTTTAGAAAATATTCACAACATTACCAGATTACTCGTGGGTACCTATTTTATCGAGTGGAATTTGTCAACGTCTAACGGCTAACCTAACTTCTCCTCCGCAAGTTACGCAAGTTTGGAAAGGGATTTGTAAGTCATCAATTCGGAGGGTCGGCGTGTTATCGAAATCAGGGTAGCCGCCCCACCCGGAAGAGAAAGAAGGGATAGGGACACCAGCCCCGATCCCGATAGGGCTGGAGCCTCAAAACCATCGCGGCGATGATTCCGTCGCTGTCGTGTTCAGAAGAGCTTCGTATCAAAATTCCCACGTTGCCATGATGTCGCGACAAAACTTAAATTTTTTGGAATCCCCCCTTGCATTTTTCCTATGGCTTTTTTACAGGACTTTATCGCACTCGTTGGCTGATATTTATAGTCGTTCCTTGCAAAAGCGGAAAATGTCCGGAAATTCGATGTCATCAGGAAAATCGGCCCGCAAAGTGCGTATGTCGGTTGCGGTGTTCCGTAATCTCAGCTCCTCTCTTATTTTTTAAAAGAGACCAGAAGCGGATCCAGCACTTTGGCAACACCGAATTTCCTCCGTTTAAACCTATGCTAAATAATCGATTCTTGTCGGAGCACTGGCCCTTCTATGAATCGATACTTTTCCATAGGTTTAAAGGGAGGAAATCAGGTATTGCCAAATCGCCAATGCCGAACCAAAAACCCAGCTTTTAAAGGTTTCATAGAATACTATTTGCAAATTAAGAGAAGAAGAATCATTGAAATTTCCAATAAATGACGTTCAGTACCTAATTTTCAATGCAATAAAGAAAGTATGACAGGAAGTCTGCAACGCCGCAAACCGAGATACCCATTCCTACATGCAGTTTCACCATCGACATACCTACTCTCATGAAAATTTCAGGGACTGATCTTGATGGCAAAATAAATATTACTCTGGTTTAACTTTCATGCGATTCTGTTTCATACATATATTTTAAAATTGGGCAAGGTTGAGAAATTCGGCAACGTTATAGTGCTCAAGCATAGCACTTGTGATACTTTTGCCGGAAGATGACATTTCAATTATTAACAGAACTTTTAGTTTTAGGTGACTAATTCAAACTTCCAACTCGTCCTCTGGACGCGAAATCAAATCAGTTTTTAATGAAATGAGGGTGCAAATCCTAACCGGCTAAGTTCATTTAGACGCGACCCAACAAGGAAGGCGGCGAATGTGTAAATCCGTCTGAGAGGGAAGCCAAGCACAACAAGAATTTGGATCGTGTAATGAGTGAAAAGTTCGAGGTA